ATGTGTCTTGTTTCCCCTCTGGGGAACTTAATCTTCAGGAATACCCTATGTTGCATAGCAAACCATGTGTAGCATAAACACATTGAACTTTTAGTCAAGGCTTAGTTTCTGTTGCTGCTGATTTTGTTGTTGGCTGAAGGCATTGCTGTTGATGAAAGTCCTTTGGTGTTGCTGCTGATAGCCTAGGCAGTCATGTAGTTTGATGTGTTCAGTTAAGCTTACCTGCTGTGAGGGTCCATTTCTAGTGCCAAGTTGGTTGGATTTGCCTTCAGGGATGAAATCAACATTGATTTTATAGTTAGTCAGTGGCCCAGAAATGGCTGCTATGAAAACTGCATGACGTTTTTCTGATTGGTCAGGAAAGATGTTTTATGATCCTTGTATTTTGGGGCAGTGTTCTGAAAGTGGGTGGGAGATGGACAAAATGAATGTCTGTTTTTGTTATATAAGCTGTGGATGTTGAAGTGAGCACTTTCATTTGAGTTAAATAATTGGAGTTCCAACAGGGTAGACCCCTCCGGCGCCCCCTCTGATCCTTCCAACTACTGTCCTATCAGTCTTCTTCCCCTCTTCGGCAAAGTCTTCGAAGCCCTAATCAATACCAAGGTGGTTAACCACCTCACATACCATAATCTGCTCTCAGACAAGCAATATGGTTTCCGCTTTGCCCGATCTACAGCTGATGTGCTTACAGCCATCACTGAAACTGTCTACTGAGCTCTTCAAAATAACGGGGAAGCCCGTGCCATGGCACTTGATAGGGTTCGCAAGCTCCAGGGTTATGGCATTACAGGTCGATTGTATAACCTAATACAATCATTCCTGTTAAACCGTGAATTGAAGGTCGTTCTCAACGGTTTCTCATCCAGTTCCTATCCCACGAACGCAGGTGTTCCTCAAGGCTCCATCCTAGGCCCCACTCTATTCCTTATCTACATAAATGACCTTCCTGATGCCATAAATTCCCAAGTTGGCATCTACGCAGATGACACCACAATTTTTTCCTGCCTCAAAAACAGATCTAGTGTCACTAACAAAACTAACCTGGCCGTGCGTCTTGAAAAGGACCTCCAATCGGTTGTGAACTGGGGCAAGAATTCAACGCTTCTAAAACAAAACTGCTCTCTATTAATCACCACAGAGATCCTTCTCTGCCCTCCATTAGAATGTCTGACGCTCAACTTCTCGAGAGCAACTCTCTGCAGCTGCTCAGTCTCACGTTGACTGCTGACTTGAGATGGAATAAATACAGTGAGTCAATTGCTTCATCCACTGCAAGGAAAGTTGGCTCCCTGTGCCGCTCCAGGAAATTTTTCTCCTTGGAATTGATCCTCCAGATCTACAAATCAACAATTCGCCCTTGCATGGAGTATTGCTGCCATATATGGTCTGGTGCCCCTTCTGTTTGCCTTGGGGTTCTTGATAGGCTCCAGAGGCAGATATGAAATGTAGTTGGCCCTGCTCTGGCATCTCGTCTATAGTCACTATCTCACAGACGCGCCGTCGCCTCCCTCTGTCTGTTCTACAAATACTTTCATGGCAATTGCTCCGAGGAGCTGCATTCGCTGGTTCCCAGACGTCATGAGTTAAAGCGCCCTACGAGGATGGCATTCTGCTCTCACCCCTTCACTGTCGAAACTCCTAAATGTAGCCGTCTCTTCTACTCCAATAGCTTCATGTCTCGCACCTCTCGCCTGTGGAACTCCCTTCCAGTTTCCATGAGAGCTATAATCTCCAGCTATTCAAGTGTAATATCAATCGACATCTCCAGTTGCCTTGATCTTTCCACTACCCTCCTCCACATCCTTTCTTTTATCACTCCTATCTGATCTTGCTCTAAATTTTCTGTAACCCCTTGTGTCCTAGTGGCTTCCTGCCTTGCTTGAGGTGAAATGCTTAAAAAAAAAAAAATATATATATATATATCTATGTCTGATTTTCTTCCTTACACATAAAAGAAAGGGAATCTGACAAAGAAAACTTTAATACATTTTTCTTTATTTCAACTATTTTAAAAGCTAAAGAGCATAATGCAGGTAGATAAATAAATTTGGCAATGTTTAACCTTCATGCCTGTAAAAAACTGTTTGTGAAAAGGACGGGTTTTTTTTTCTGTCAACACCACTATTGAGAGCAATGTTTATTTACAAGGTTATAGAAATATGAAAACCAGGCACAATATGATATTCATTATTTAATATTTTATAAAGATTCATTATTTATCATTTTATAAAGAAATAAATTTGAAAAGAATTTATTTAAAAAGTTATAAAAGCCTACAAGGTTTGGCAAATAGAGAAATGCTGCTAAGGGCTACAAGTCTGATTCTAATATTATATAGAAAATATTATTACAAGATATTATTGTGTTGTTATATTCGTTAGTGGATGAAGATTTTGTTTGTTTTTTTGGTGTCTTGGTGTATTTGTATTACAGTCTATAAGAATGCATAATAACAGTGTTTAAACACTAATTATGAATTCTTATAGACTGTAATACAAATACACCAAGACACCAAAAAAAAAAAAAAAAGCAAAATCTTCATCCACTAATAAACATAACAACACAATAATATCTTGTAATAATATTTTCTATATAATATTTGTATTGTATATAAATGCATTTGTTTGTTTGGATTGTGTTATATCTCGTGCAAGATATAATAAACAAAGTAACCCGAGTGTTGGTTTTCAATAATAGGTTTATAATCGGATGGAGGTGTGTCAAGTACAGAGACAGAGTCGGGAGTATGCTAACCTCAATAGGTGTTAACAAACGAAGACTTGACGACTGTCCGCTGTGGTCGTACTTAATCGGCAACCAGTCCGTCCATTATCGTGAATGGGGAAGTTGAGTTATATCATCACAACAGATTGCATACATGTTTTGCCTTGTTTTATATTAAGTATTATTTATTGTTGTGGATGCAAGAGAAGATCAAGCAACCTGACAAAAATTCTTTCTGATATATTACACCATAGCAAAAATCTTAGTTCATTCTGCGCATCCCCAACACTTTTATTACAATATAGAAAAAAAGTACAAATACAAAATTTGCACAAAAATTTTCTTTTGTGAGCCTATTAAAGCAGGATAATGGTTTTTAATATGACAAAAGGATTACAATTTCAAAACAGTTATTACTGTAAAAATAAGTTAGTCTTTAGTGTAATAAATAAATGTTAAAATTTTTTTTATAAATTAACAATGAAAATTAACATATCCTTTTAAAATTAAATTATATTACTGCATAAGAAGGTCCTCCTGTAGAATCAGACTTGCACATTTGTTTAAAAACCCATTAAAAGTGGCTCAGAGCAAAACTTATCTCAGATCAATCCAAGTAGTCCAACAAACCATTAAAATCAACTCCAGATGAGAAGTAACTAAAAACACTTTCTGATTGGCTAATAAACAAAAATAAAAAATCATAATTTCATATGCTCTCGACTACGTACGCATCATATCGATTTAGTGGGTATCCTAAGCAGATACAAATTTGCACCAAATTTTTTTGAGCTTCCCACATGACTTGAAATATCAATAAATACAAAACATCATTTGATTTTGACAGTGAGTCTTACGAATTTTCTCAGCTCAACACACAAATCCATGTTACATATTTTACCAGGCTTAAAGTTAAATTTACTTAACATTTCCACAGCTTGCAAAGTACACTCACTCAACTATATAAACTCGACAGAAAACATCAAGTGACATATTCAATCAAAAAGAGACAACTTCACACACAGAATAGTAAGTCAAGTACAATATTACAAAATTCAACATCAAAAACAAAGTGTTTAATTTCCATACAAAGAAATACCTTATCAAACTTACCCATTTTTATACACACAATTTCTCAACACTTAATCTTTCATATAATATCTTCATAAACACTTCAATCTGCACAAGAAAGAACTTTGAAGCAATTTAAGCAACTCTCAACATACAATTTTGTACCTTCTATTGGTTATATATAAAAAATATTTATTGTTGAACCAAAGTATTGTTTCATATTGTTATTTCTCTTATTGTTTGCTTGCTTTTTGTTATATTTGCGAGATTAAAAAGTAGCAGGTTAATCACATTTCCATCAGCCCTTCACAGATTGGTAAACCTGTCTTGTTGGTGGCATTAAACCCCCTACACTCCAAAGAGAAAACAACAGTAAGTAAAGAAAAATTTTCTCTGTATATTTTTCAGAGAGAAATTTTGTACACTTTTTTGTATGAAGAAAGTTTTTGGTTTCTTCCTCTTGTGGTAACAGTGAAAATTTAGTTAAATTAAGCATACCAGCCAAAGACTTGTTTATGATGGGAGAGACTATATTGCTGCAATATTCATCAGTGCCGATGGGTAGTCTAAATTTTTCTGCATCATTTCCTTCTGGACCAGGGCAACTTGAATTCTTGTAGCAGTTTGATGTTAACTCCGAAATAGTAATTCCAATGTTCCCCTTAGACAGGTAGGCTACAAATACATTCCTTGCAATTTGGATGGAAAACCTTTAATTGGTTAGGACATAAAACAAACACTGCTGTTTAACCTCTAATCGGAATGTACTATTTTTTAAATTTAAAACATAAGCAAGAACCCATCACAGCGTCTGCCTATCTCTGAAAGTCTGATGCATGATCATGTAACTTAAATTTCTTATACATAGAAGAAGAAGAAGAAGGCTCTGTAACAAGTAAATAATAAATAAACTTCAATTAAAGTGAAAAATAATTGTTTTTAAAGCACAACAGAATTTAAAGTAGCAATTAAAATATTTGATTAGAATGCAACTAGTATTATACTTTACATTATTGAAGTAACTATCACTGATTTGCCTTTAAGGGAATAATTAATTTAAATATTATGAATGTGTCCAACTTTAAAGTTTCGTTTCAGTTGATGCGTTTCTTATTTTGGTTTCAACCCTGCCTTCCAATGGCGGCAAGTAGAAAACTTTTGTCAGTGTCTTCTTTTTCTCCTTTAATGTAAAACTTAAAGAAATGTGGAGGCGGAAATCAAAAACACTAACGGTGTGTAAAATCAACTTCCTTAATCTTAATTTTCAAATTTCAGTTTACAATTTATTTTTTATAATAATATCTATCTGAATAATTCTGATTTCGTTGTTTACTTTTTTAAATTGTAAACAAAAATGCAATAATCATCATTTCTATAATTTTTTTAAATTAGTTCTGTTAATTAATTACAACAGTTATCTTCATGATTCGTAACAATTTGGCAGCTATATGCCAAAATTTAACTTTTACTTTCTTCATAAAGTTAAATTAGAATTAAAACTCCTCAACCAATATTCAATCAATACTAACTTTTTTCTTTACTTTTTCTAAGTAGAAAAATTTCATCTGATAGTTTATCAAATAAGAAACCAATCGCGTACCTGATTGTTTGACAATTTAAAATCTTTTGCAGATGTTATGAATTGTGGTAATTAAATAATACTGCTAATTTTGGTCTAATTTGAAAAAAAAAAATGTTGAGTTTTCGCTTTTTTAAAATTTAAAAAAAAATTTATTTGTCATATGAATTGTTTATAGCTACACATACACTAACACTCATTGTATTGTAAAAAATGAACTTCCTTCTTTATAAGAAGAGTAATGCAACAAGTCACTTATTTGTGAATTCTTGTAAAATCTTTATTTTTATATATTTTTAAAAATATGACGGGACGATTGTATCGTTAATTATTATCTTAGTTTTTACTTTAAGAATCAAGCTTATGAGCAAAAAATATCACAGGTGTTTGTTGCAGGCACCTCCACTTTGTCGCTGAAAAGAGCATGATGAAAAAAGACTCCAAGTCCAAACTTAATAAAAACAAAGTTTTTTTTCGTCAAAATCAAATGTTTTAGACAGGAAACTGAAAAGTAATTTTTTATTAAATTTTTTAATTCTTTCTAGCACGTTTAAAATTTTTGTTAAAAATCTTGTTTTACGTCAGCGGTCGACGTAAATATTTAATTTATGATTTTATGTTTTAGTCCTCCCCCCCCACCTTTTTTTAGGTGAAAAAAAAAAAACATTGATTTGAAAATTCTTGCAAAATTCAAATAATCGTCGGATTTTAATGAAAATTTCAGGACTTATTTACAAATGAAATTTTAGAAAATCTTGGTAAAAAATATTTGTTACCCCCCCCTACTTAATTTCATGAAATTTCAATGTGCGAATGGTGTAATGGATAATGGATCAGAAATTTTTTCTTGTCTGAGTCCATCCTTTAAATCTATAAATCAACCATTTGTTCTTGAATGGAATACTGTTTCCATATATGGTCTGGTGCACCTGCTGTTTGTCTCGAGGTCCTTGACAAAATCCAGAGATGGATATGCAATGTGATGGGGCCTGATCTGGCATCTCATTTACAGTCACTTTCTCACAGATGTGCCATGGCTTCCCACTGTTTTTTCTACAAATATTTTCATGGTAACTGCTCCGTTGAGCTACTTTTGCTGGTTCCCAAACTGCGTAAATTTAAGTGTGCTACTAGGTTGGCATCTCAATCCCACCCTTTCACTGTTGAAATGGTTAAATGTAGCCATTTCTTCTACTCCAACGGCTTCTTGCACTTCCCATCTGTGGAACTCCCTTCCTCTTGCTTACTTCCCTGATAGCTATAATCTTCAATTATTCAAATGTAATGTCACTTGACATCTTCTGATACCTTGATCTTGTTCCCCGTCCTTCTCTTTATCCTTTCCTCAAATACACCTCTTTATTCTTGCATGCTAGTGGCACTCCCACCTTGCTTGGGGTGAAATGCTTAAAAAAAAAAAAAATAAGAGAAATCAGAAAGATGAGTTCCAATTCCAGTCAGGTTTGTTATATTCACTTATATGTAAATACCTTTGGGAAATGTATGAATCCACCTTTTCTCCCTCAGCTATGGGTTAATTAGAAGGACTTGTAACAGTAAATCATTATTATTTCTAAAAAATTACAATCTAAAAATATTTTTCTGACTTTAAATAACCTGAAAAAGGTTGATACGCTGTAAAAAAATAAATGAATCAATTCAAATTTGTTTTTCTGATTGTATGTAGTATATTAGTTAGTGACACAAGAAGTGGGATTAATGTGCTGAGTTCAAATTCTGATTGAGGCTGTGACATTTGCTTTTAAACAAATACTCTTTTTTATTACCTAAACATTATTTTTAGTGAATGCCAATATTTGAGTAGATGCTCCATTTATTTATTAAACAGTATATTTATTTATTTTTGTCTACCTACCTGAATATTTGAGAAAACTTATTAAAGAAAAATATGTGCTCTTTGGCAGGATTTGAACACGCATCTTTGTTTGATCTAAAATAGATCAGATCTAACAATGGTTTTCCCCTGCCAAGGATGACAAAAGTTTGAATTCTACTGGAAAATGCATATTTTTTTAAATAAGATTTCTTCAATATTAAGTAATAAAATCTATCAGATTAATAAATAAAATTCCATCACTACTTTAGAAATTACTTTGTTTACATTAGAATATCTGAAACTGAGCAGATATAAATGTTTCAAGTATCTGTGATCGGCAAAAGTACTTCATAGCTCAGATCTAATAACGGTTCCTCTGTCTAGGGGTACGCTGGTTTGAATCCTGCCAGAGAATCCATATTTTTGTACTAATACATATCTTCATCTAGATAGGTGTTAATAACAAGGTAGATTGGGATCTCTAGCCTTGGTTGGTAACCAGTCTAGAAGAAAGAGAACTCTGAATTCAAAATCAATTTGGCAAAGGGATGGCAACTTCACCCTGCAAAGAAAACAGTGACTAGCATAGTGAGGCTGTGATTCTCTATATAATAAGGGAGTCTACAGGACTTACTACTACCAGGGCCAAATTTAGACCTTAAGAGGCCCATGGGCTAATAGAATTTGGGGTTCCCTTCATTACATATGTTAACCATTCACCTATGTTGCTAAAAAACTTTTTTGGTGCAAACATGACACAGTTTAACTAAAATTTTTAATGATTTTGGAACTCATCCAATTTATTTCATTAGCAACTTTATGATATTTGTTATCTAGAAATGTATCTAGAATGAAGGACGTGTATTACTCTGAAATTGTAGGATTTAAATTCACTAGCAAAGCATCCAAAATTTGTACAGTAATGAGCAATTTTGCACTTATTTCATATCTGTGTTCAATGAAACGTAAAATTGAGGAAATTAGGCAAAATTATGCAAAACTAAAAATAGCTACATAAAAAATTTATATGTATATAAAAAGATACATAAAAATCTAAATGGGTCCCTTTAAAGGAACCCATTGAATTTAAAAGATCCACTCTGACTAGAAAAGCCCAAATACTCTAAATTGTTTTAAATTAGGTTAAAAGAGCCCCATTAGATCTGAAAATAAGTCTGTTATTTATTTTTTTTTAGTTTTATCAGGGGTCCAAGACTAGAGAGACTTTGGTGGGTTCTTTTAGTCTTGGGGTCCTTGGGCAGCAGCACACACTAGCCCATATGTAAATCCAAAACTGACTACAACTGATATAATTTGAAAAACATTCGTATCTCATAATTCTTTTCTTATAGAACTGTGATGAGTTAGAAACCATTGTTAAAGTACAATATAAATAACATGATCAGAATTAAGTTTGCAATGAAAAGAAAAAAGTAAAAAAGATGAAACAGCAACAATCCTGCAAGTAAGCAAACAATATAGTTAAAGCAAATAAAAATTGATCAGAAGGCAAAAGAATTCACAAACTAGGAGCTGGTGTTTGTACACAAAAGCAAGGTTGACCAAGTTATTATGTCTGTCTAGTAGTTAAGGCAGTCAACCAAGTTATTATGCCTGTCTAGTAGTTAAGGTAGTCAACCAAGTTATTATGTTCTGTCTAGTAGTTAAGGCAGTCAACTAAGTTATTATGTCTGTCTAGTAGTTAAGGCAGTCAACCAAGTTATTATGTCTGTCTAGTAGTTAAGGCAGTCAACCAAGTTATTATGTCTGTCTAGTAGTTAAGGCAGATCTGGAGTGAGTCATGCAAGCCGTCCCATTTTATTGGCTAAGAAAAATATCCCAGCATGCATTTGGTGTCCTGACTATAAGAAAACTTTTGCAATCCTTCCCACTCCCATTGGGAAATCAACAAACTGGATAATATAAAGAATGTTGGATAGACTTTTTTGAGTTAATTTTATTACAAAAGAACTATGTAAATGTGTTATTTTTTTTTTTTGTTTCTTGCAGCAATCACCTGATCTTGTGGAAGATATAGAAGTCAGTGTACAATTGTCTCCTCAACTGAAACAAACTTGTTTACCCACCAAATGTTTGCCAAGCTCTAGTGATTGGCAGAAATGTGCAGATTCTTTTTCAGGACTTCATCCTTTACCAGAAAGAGGCAAGAAGAGAAAACGTCACTGTGTTTCAGCATTACAACATGAAGCAGCAGAAAAAAAATCAAATAAATCTCAATCTGCAAAAGAATTTGGTATGTTTTTTTTAATATCATTATCACTGCCATCATTTTTATCAATTATTCCCATCAATTTCTTCTTTAATTCTTTTAGCAGAAATAAATTGCCTCCATGTTAGAAAATACATTAAATCTGGTAACTGAAGCACAAAGGAGAAGAGGAATATTGAAAATTTCTTTAGAAAATACTTAAATCATCTTAAATAGTCTACTCTTTTTGGTCATTGCTTAACAAAGACGATCATTGACATATGCTAGAAATATCAGGTGTATTTACAAATAAAATTAGAAGATGGTGACTGATATTGCTTTTAAATTTTGGAAGATTATAGTTAACAGGAAAGCGAGAAGCTGGGAGAGATTTTCACGGACAAAAAGTGTAATAGAAGAAAATACAGTCCGACATCTTTATTCTGGCACCCTTTGGACTAGGTCACTACCGAAACATAGAAAATGATGAATGACAGAAATCATCCATAAAAAAATAACATAGTCTTGTCAGGTCATTCCACATTTACACTGCTGTGTTATCAAAGGCATAACAAAGGTTAAAACAGGAAATAAAACAATTCTGATGTGCTCCATAAGCATCTCCCATAACCACTTTATAAGTGCATTGTCTAACTCTGAACTCCTGGCACCTTTCAATATTTTCCAACTCTTCAAACCTTTCTGGTTTTCGTTTTCAGCAAAAAATTTAAAAATCTACTACTTTTGCTTATTTAAGTCATACACAGTGGATAATCTGATGCCATAGTATTCATGCAAATTCTTTAAATATGTTCCTTTAACTCCATCTTTTCAAGCATAGATAAAGATTTTTGTTTACGAGTCTTACCTCTAGCACCATCATCTGTGCCTCATGCTCTCTTGAATGGGTAAATATGCAGCTATATATAAGAAATAAGCAAGACTATATTCGCCAAAACACTATGATGCTGTCAGCTGCTGTGGAAATTTAGAATGTGTGGTGCTGTCCTTGTTGCTGCTCAATCAACTAATGGTAACTGTTTAAAAAAGAAAGTATCGGACCATGAATTTGGCTTGACCATAAAGTGCCGGATTAAAGAAGTCTGACTGTATCAGAATAGAACTTACAGTTACATCTAGCTATGATGATGGGACCTAATAGCTAATCTAGTACTACTATTTTGAAGTATCAAAGTTTTAATTACTGGATACAAAACAGTGATTTATTTTATAAAAAAGGAATACTTTTTGGGGACTAGAATTATCATATTTTATATAATTTTTTATTAAGTTAGCTACTGTATGTAGTGTTTGGAAGCATTCATTTTTAGACTGGCCTTGCAAGAAATTATAGGAAATCTATTAATTGTTATATTTTTATAATAAAAATGTGTAAAAAAAAAAAATTAAATAAAAAATGTGTGCAAACATGGATCTTCACATATCTAGGTTGAAAGCCAGAGGGGTATCCATTTATGTTTTGGACAAATAGACCTAGCAGAGGTCATCCCTTTCCAGGTCAAATCACACCTGATGTCCTCCAATACATGGCCATGGATTTCACAATGGCGACCATGATAACACAGCCATATTTCAGATGTACAGTATTGAAAAACGGAAATTGAGTATGACAATCACCAAAAATTCAGTTACCATAAATAAAATAACATTGTCTGCTGAAGTATTTTTAATATAAGAGAAATGTTTGTAAGATGGGGATTTGGATAGTAAAGCATTATTTCCTTAAATCTGATATGATTGCTTTTTCTGTGCTATTAAGGACATCAGGATTTATTTTATGTCATACTTTATGCTATATTATGATTCAGGAAAAGATGAAATTATGTGGAGCTCAAGTGATGAAGATGTGCCTCCAAGCCAGGTTATTCGAAGACAAAAATCCCAACCGCAGCAGAAGGTACAACGCCAAATCCTGGCGACATCCACTCATACTGCTTGGCCAACAGAACTTTGTAACAGGTGGGATATTTTCAAAATGAGATAGAAATCAGAATTTGAAACTTTTCTTTTCATTGATTTCCAACTCTAAACTTTACTTTTTTTATTATTTCTGATCCATGCTGTTTACTTGCTGCTATAAACTAATGTCCCAAGTATTGTAATAAAAAGGAAATAAAATTTAAGAGGAGAGAGAATACAGCCACTCCTTACTTAACAACTGGGTTTGGTTACAGCAGCCTGGTCACTACATGAGAAACTATACTGATACTTCAGGCATACTACACATCTAATGGGTTTGTATCAGCCATGTTTAGATAGCTTTAATGTCAATTTTGCACCATTTGTAGCATTTCTAATTCATTTCTAAATGTTTATACAGTAGACTACTGAACAGTAAATGTAATAAACAAATTAAAAAAATTAGCTCCATATTCTGTATGCCAGTGATGAAAATGTCTGATTCTTTTTTAAGCAATAGCATGAGGATGACATTCTCTTTGATCATAATATTGGATCCAATGATAAAATGTCTGATTCCTTTCCAAATGATAAGGAAAACAATGAGGATGACATTCATTTTAAGGATAATATTGAATCCAATGATGAAATATGATTCCTTACTAAGTGATAGGAAAAGCAATGTAGATGATATTCTCCTTAATGATAATATTGGATCCAATGATGAAATTTTTGATTCCTTTCCAAACAATAGTGAAAGCAATGAAGATTTTAAAAGTTTGATCCCAACTAAATAATAAACTTTTTTTACTTACAGTATTTTTGAATTTAGATGTTTTGTGTTTAGAACAATATATGCTAATTTTTGAAAGAACAATATATGCTAATTTTTGAAAGAACAATATATGCTAATTTTGAAAGTTTTTAAATTGAATTTTTGTTCAGTAAAAGTCTTTCAAATCCAACTGTAGCTATTTTTTCCAAAACCTTTTCTTCAAAATAAGTATGACTTATGTTCCCAAAAATATTTGTTCTCAGACTATCTGGCAAACATAGATGTATAAATGATAAATTCTTTCAATAGTGCAAGTTTTCTTTTATTATTCTTTTGCAGCTTGCCGAGACAGAACATGCAAACCAAATTCAGGACATCATGTAAGAAAATACCAGCAGATGACCAGGAAACAAGCTGGCAGCATCGGAAACATGCAAAATTATTGACAAAAAAACTTCATCCTGATGAAGAAACTAATTTTGATGTACAAGAGTTTGATGATTCAGATGAAGATTTTATTTCAAAACAACATGAAGTACAAGTAAGCCAACTATTTTATAAGGTCATTAATGAAGTTAAGAGTTTGTATGCATAATCCTTAGTGGACTGGGCCTTGTTGAATTTCAAAGCAGGCATTATTTGAGACCTCATCAGTTGGCTAATCTGACTGGCCTCTCCAGTTTTAATACTATTATGCACTACAAAGCAACTTCACACTAAACAATTAAAAAATGTTAAAAATCACTTTGGTCACAGAAAATTAGCTGCAGGCTGCAAGAGTACATTTTTAGAGTAAATGAGTTTGAATGCGAGTGATTGATTTGTTTTTATGGCTTATGGGGGGGTCATAAATTATTTCTTGGGGTGGGGGGTCATATGCCCGCCTGTGAAAGCCTGTGTCTCCACCACTGTTTTCAGACTATTTTTGGCACCTTAGCCTGGTTGAAAACTTTTGTTGGGGGTGACATTGTGTCACCCCTTCTATGCTGGCACCCGGGGTGGTCTGCCCCCCCCTCGCCACGCCACTGGTTTGATCTCCAATTCATTTGCTGCATTTCACGTCATCCTTGGGTTCAATTCTTCCACCTCAAGGCTACATCAATGACAATTTCCTTTTCTTATCTCACTTTATTATATGACAAACAATAGTTGTAGCATCATTTCTAGGAGGAAAAGAGAGGAAGATGATTAGCAGAATTGGTGGGCTGAAATCTTATCTATGTGTTGGCTTGCCACACTAAAGAATATAGGTGTGGGTGGTATCTTGACTCTTCTAATTCTTGTAGCTGTGTGAGTCTTATCATGCCTTTTTGGTCTTATATCAATACTTGAATAAAGGCATTTCATCGCTGTCAAAATTCCACACCCACAGGGTTCAAACCCCCCTCCCCACTCAGTGCATGTCATCAGTTTTGACCAGTAGTTTGCCATTCTGGGCCAGCCTACACATTGTACAGAACAAATTTCATTTGTGCAAACTGAATGCATATATTTACCATGCATAGCCACAAGTCTTGTGTATACCTGGTAAGAGATTGTACTAAACAGGAGGAAAAAATACAACAAAAATACAAATTTTCCAAATGACATATCCTTTCAAGTTTATGCAATCATGGCTCTCCACAGATTCTTTTTCTCTATTATTAATGAATTGCCATGAATTTTTAGGAAAGATAGTGGAGTGATATCCCATTCCCTTATTCACAGTTTTTAATTCAGAATGGTTCTTCTTCTAGACTGGATGCCACCCAAGGCCCAGTCTATTGTGTTATTTAACCAATAGCTGGAGGGAGAAGAAATGGATTCATGCCTTTCTCAAAAGCACTAGTATGAAAGTGAATGTAACAGGCATGAACTCATACTAACTTTGACAGTACCTATGCTAAAATTAGAATGACACAGAAGAGAGTAGCATGTCTCTTGTGCCACGATGACATGTAAATTTGTGAAGTGTTCCATATTTTTTTAGTGCAGGTAGCATAATGGTTATTTGTGTGAAAATGGAATCAGTGAACAAAGTTCAATTTTTGGTTTAAAAAGCACCTTAATAATAAAGACATCTGCAATATGATTTTATTTTTTTTATGGATTATCAACCTTTTGCAGATTATATAAAGCCAGAATATATTTTTATATTTAAAGAATTTTTTGGAGATAATAATGATTTACTGATACAAGTCCTACTAATTTACCCATAGCTGAGTGAGTAGAGGTGCATTCATACATTTGCCAAGGGTATTTGAGCATAAGTGAATACAGTGAACACAACTGAGATTGGAACTTGACTCTCTGATTTCCAATTCTGAGCCATTATCCATTACACCGCCTGTACATTCAAGTTTACAGCACCTGGTATTCCCAAGCGGTCACCCATCTAAGTACTGGCCAGGCTTGATGTTGCTTAATTTTGGTAATTGTATGATGTTTCAATGTGATATAAAACATAAAGACTGTAATATAAAATATAGGAATAACAATGAATTTTTTTGCTTTTGCAAACACAAATTTACCTTTTTAACTAAAATTTGCTTTTATGGCTACAATTCCAGAAATCTATCACAATTGACACATTCAGTTCAGATGAAGAAAGCCTTGCTATTGGTTGTACATCTCCCAACTCATCTCCAATAGATGAACAGGTAAGAATTTTTCATTCATTCTTTCTTTTAAATGCTATTATAAGGCTCATATAAGCTCATAGTTCTGTTTAATAATATTTCAATGAAATCACCAGAACAAAAGATTAGTGAAGAAACTGTTTAATCACATGGATTAATAATACCAAATACTGTAGTTAGTATGGCAATGCATACAACACACTTTGTGACAACTTTACAACTCTCTTTCCTAGGAGCTGGCATTCCTTTCATAGTAAATGAAATGTTCAACAATTTAGTTTAGTGAAAATCGGTTGTTTTTCTACACAACACACTGTATAAAACTAGAGGTTGGTGCTTCAAAGAAAAAGGCAGTATCAAAAAGTTCTCAGCTGGACCAAAAAGGCCTTCCAAAAAATTCTAAGGTTTTGTTAAACTTTGGGAAGTATGTTAGGCCGAGAAAATTTCAACATTCCTTTATCCAAACCAATGAAAAATAAATGGATGCTGTTTATTTGATGGGATTGGGAGTTTAATTCTTTCTCCAAATCTTCTTTGCTTTGTTCCTTTTATATTTGATTAAATCTTACAGTTGAGTTGTTGCCTAGGTAAATGCCAAACTGTATGCTTTTGTCAGATTGGCCTTATATTAGTTGGAGTGTTCCACAATGCTGAACAAATTTACACATATGTGGGGATCAAGAAGCAAGGAGTGGATTCATACCTTTTCTATAAATTAGTATTGCCTCAACTAGAATCTGACATTATTTCGTCAATTCTATATTCTGTGTCAATAACAGTTATGCTATCCTGTGCCTCCTGACTAATTATGTAACAATCATAATGCACAAACTGTCTGCAAGTCTGTGGCTAAATCTAGAAAAAGTACAACACTCATTACTGTTCTGTAGTTGAATGTTCATGTTTTGTTTGGACGTTGAATGGAGAGAATGAGAGCAATCGAACAAGAGTCAAGGCTTTTTTGCCTCAAAACGTCTGACCATTTACAACATTGTGGTTATAGCATCCCACCACTCTTTGCCCACTCGAAAAGCAGAAACATTGAATAATGCATGCTGCATGTTATTTAATATTTTACAGTGAGGTGATTTTGAGAGAATTAGCATTCCTACCAGGATTCATTATTGTCGGCAACAGTTTTAACAACATTAGATAAGCAGATGACACATCATTTATAGCAGAGAAAGGAAAATACAGGAATATTCAGAATACAATGGTTTCTCTATTTTCAGTTCAGAACTATGTTTAGTATAAGATTCATGCCAAGAAATACCAAATGGTCTGAATTGAATTTAATGTCAATAAGGAACCTTGATTCTAAGAGAACTTGATCTGTGACAACCCAAATATGTACTGGGCTCAACCAGAGTGATACCAAATAACTTTGTATTCAGTTTCACATGAGTGTCAGAGAAGCCAGGTGCTTCAGCAGGTTAACTGGTAAGGTAACCTCCTAGCCATCAGGAGCAGGTTCATGTCTTCACTGAATGTCAGTGGCGCCCTCAGAATATAAACAGCTGGTCAACCCAACCGCACTTAGGATGTGCACATGTAGGATAACTGTTTGATTATATAAGCTCTCTACCCAATTGATTGATTGTTTTTTTTTATGGCTTATCAAACTTTTCAAGGTTATTTAAAGCCAAAACATTTTGGGATTGAAATATTTTTTGGAGATAATAATAATTTTTTATACAAGTTTTACTATTTAACTCATAGTTTGGAGAAGAGATGGATTCATACCTTTTCCAAGGGTATTTGCACAGAAGTAAATATAATGAACCTGATCGGAATTTGAACTTGGTTCTCCAATTTCTCATTTCAAGCTGTTATCCATTACATCACTTGCTCATCCAAGCTTACAGCACCTGGTATTCCTGAGTGGTCACACAAGCCAAAGTTTCTTACATCCTTGTAAGAAGAAAAATCCATGTTTGGAGAAAAACCCCAAAGCCACACAACCATTTGATATTGATGAAATCTGGAGTTGAATAAACAATAATTTTATGTATGAAAAATTTTGTCTTGTGGTTATTTACATTATTCATTGCTCACAGTTGAAGGACCTTTTCAATTTTGAGTAACTTAAACTATGGCATATCTACTTAAGTGATTGTTATCTTTTTATTTTTGGCTTGGTTTTTGGAATTTCATAGTTTCCTATTTGTTCTTTAAACTATGATTCTGTCAGATTCTAATTAATATTTGATCCCAATTCATATGCTAAATGGCAGCTCCTACTGCAATTAAGCATTATTCTTCAAGTAAATTGAATTGAGTTCTCCAAGCCGCTGGTGTATTTTCGTATAGAGAAAAAACATTAAAATTCCCTTCCTTTCTGCTGTGCAATGGCCTGGTGGGTAAGATATTTGATTGATGTCAAATCAGTTGGGTTTCGATCCTGGCTTGAAGCAACTGGATGTCTAGCTACACTGAAGAGCTGTGATACAGTGAAATAGTCTGTCTGTGGATGACTATATATATATATATATATATATATATATATATATATATATATATATATATATATGAAAAACTAGGTAATCCGTATGGGTAAACCTAAGGAAGTAAAGTCTGATGATCCGCAGTTCTTTTTAAAAGGGCTGTGGTGAAATAATTTATTACATGGAACTTTAAAGTGGTCTGTTTTTTTAAAAATATATATATATATATATATATATATATATATATATAAGAATCATCTTGAAAATATAGTAGAATCATAGATAGTCTTTAGATATGGGAATAAAATATGCTTCTGTGAAAAGGTATGTAATAACAAAAATGCATTTGATGCACACTTCAACCTTTATATACTTTCTAAATTGTCCCTGAAATAATTGTTTCTAACTTTGTTTTACTTTTTTCAGGTGTCAAACTCTTGTTCAAGGTCTGATATGGATATCTCAACATGGTCATCTTCAAATTTCAGTGGGGAATGTGCAGCCACAGATGGTGGAGGTCGGAAAACAAGTGAGTGGTTGCAGGCTCTGCAGATGATGGTAACATCCACGAAACCCAGAATGACAGTGGATCTTCATCTCAGGAGACTAGTAACATGTTTGGCTCAGTGAAAAAGAAACGAAGACACAAATACAAAAAGTAAATAATTTTGATTTTGGTTCCGCGTAAATTGACCTGTGTTTTGATTCCGCGTAAATTGACCTGTGTTTTGATTCCGCGTAAATTGACCTGTGTTTTGATTCCGCGTAAATTGACCTGTGTTTTGATTCCGCGTAAATTGACCTGTGTTTTGATTCCGCGTAAATTGACCTGTGTTTTGATTCCGCGTAAATTGACCTGTGTTTTGATTCCGCGTAAATTGATCTGTGTTTTGATTCCGTGTAAATTGGTCTGTGTTTTGCTTCTCTGCTAATTGGTTCGATTTTTGCTTCTCTGCAAAGTGGTCCAATTTTTGCTTCTCTGCAAATTTTGATTCAGTTTGGAATATGATAGATATGGAATATAGAGACAGGCTGTATCAGTGGCATATCTAGTATGAAACTAATGAAGTTTAGACTTCAGGGCTCCCAATGGAGATCCTGAAGAAAGTTTTTAATGAGTGAATTTTTTTAACAAAATCAATGTTTTTTTTTTATATTGTTTGTTATTAAAATAAATCAATTTTAGTGATGGAATCATAACCCAATGGGTTGAAGCAGCTAATGTTGGCCTTAGAATATGGTCTAATACCCATTTCATATGGACTCAAGATTTTCTTTGGTGCTTGCAGCATCAGAGTCCCCAACTGTATGGGCTTGTTGGGCTCACCAGAATCTAATCATAGCCTACATTTTGGCAGTTGAATACTCAAATTCATTGTTGTTGGTTGCAAAGGGACCTCCATATCTGTTCAAGCTTCAGTGCCCCAGAAATGTAAACTTGCCACTGGGTAGTATTGATATCAAAAATAAAGTTACTGTTTCTTTGACTGAAGTATAGGAAAAAAAAATTTTCAAATTTTGATATTTTTGTTAACTTTTTATACATCTGGAAAGAAATTTGACTGATTTATTTGTTTTTCTTTTATTTTTATTTGATGAACATTTTTTTTTTTTTTTTTTGCAGGGATGGATTGGCCAAAAAATTGTCTCGTGTCATTTCTAGAGAAAAGACAGCAATGAATATTTGGTTATATCAACAATCATTGTTAAATGGTTAGCATTGACAGACATATCTTTCTTTATTTCTTAGGTTTATCTGATGTTATATTCTCAACTTCTTTTGAACAAAATAAATTTTCTATTGCAAATTATGTATTGAAATGATTACCTAAACCTAATCCTGCTTAGACTGCAGTTAATAATGCTTTACTTTAGAAATTAGAATGTATATTTATATTTAAAATGGACACATGTTTACACTTGAGCATGAAAAATACAAAAATATATTTCTGCATAATATGCACAAGTTTTTTAAAATTTTTATATGCAATTCATTTATAAGCAAGTGTACATTGACAACTTGACAATTTGCTTATGTGTTCTGTCATATCCATGTCTGCAATTTCAGAGCATCTCTTTAAAAATTGGTAATGCACATTAATCTCCCCTGAGGATATGTTTTCTACATTGAGTAAACCACATTCTGACTTTCATCTGAAAGTTCTTGAGACAATTGTTAACTCGAGATAGTGTAATCTGTTTATAGTATAAGTATATATGTGTCAATATATTATTGATATTTGTGTATTTCTTATCCTCATCTTTTACCTTTATTTTAGTCATTGTGCACAGTATCTTAATTCTTTGATCAAAATCTGATGGGAGAGAAATGAAAACTGGTCAACTCTTTCTAATTTTTTTTTTTTTTTTTTTTTTTTTTTTTTTCATTTTACCATTTGTTGTGGCTAAATTTTCTTTTGTTTAATTTCCTCTTTCTTTTTTTTTTTTTTTAATATGTCCGTTTTTATAGTATTGATTACATTTTGTATCTCCCATATAATCTTTATTAATAGAATTGTTTCATTATCTATTTGAAATTCATTCAGACCAGAAGAACATCTTGACAGCATGTGTGCATAGATTTTTCCGTAAGTTTCGAATGGTTATTGCCTTATGCTCTTTGGGAACACTCTCCAAAAATCATGAGTGGACACCAAAAAGTGGAGAATCACGCCAAACTGTTCTTTTTAGCCGTAGTGTATTTAAAATTCTCAAGCTTCAGGCAGGTAGCGTTATTCGCATATTTCCTCCATGGTAAGTTTTATCTTGTTTTTTACTTGTTGCTTTAATTTGTCATTTGTTTAACTCTTCCTACTGAGAAGTGAATCAAAATATATAGATGTTTGTAGAGGACAGGATAAATAATTGCTTAAATTGGTTTAGTAATGAATGTAAAAAAAAATACTTGATTCAGCATTTATGATAACATAATATTCAAATTCTTGATTCAGCATTCATGATAACATAATATTCAAATTCTTGATTCAGCATTCATGATAACATAATATTCAAGTACTTGATTCAGCATTTATTATAACATATTATTGAAATACTTGATTCAGCATTTATTCATATAATCACATAATATTCTGAAAATAAGAATAAACAGAAATATTAACAAAATCAACTACATTTCTAGTTAATGTGATGAATTTCCAACTCTCTGAAGCAAAATAAACACTTTGCATGATGGCAGCCATTTTCAATATGAAAAGAACACATATGCAAGTGGAATTCTTATAATACTATTGTATAGGTTCAGTGGGTATTTAAAGATTAACTTGAAGTGACAGTTGGTTACCTGCAGTTTTTAGGAAAATACAATGATTCCATTTCTCAGCGACAGTGAACTATGGTGGACCATGTGTTCCATGATTGACAGCATTTCTCGCTGTCTGAAGTAGTTCCTTTTCTTTTTTCTGTGGTGACCCTATTTTGAAGCCTCTCCTTGTCTTTGCAATGTGGAACTGGAACTGACCTATTCATAAGATTAGTTAATAAAAAATATTCCCAAAATCAAGATCATTTCTGGTTAATAAAATATTGATGACATGTAAGCATTTTTTTTTTTTTTAATTTTCTGATCAACTAGTTTGTCTATACAGGGTGTTCAATAATTAGTGTTACAAAATTTTTTGTCCATTTTTATTAAACAAAACAATTTCTAAATATTTTACAAAGCAGAAACAAAAGCTAAATGTCCATAAACTTATTTGATACACTATTTATTCAATATGACTTTCTTCTGCATCAATAAGTTGTTAAAGAAAATTGATGAATGAATTGCATAGGGCAATTTAAGGCATTTTATCTCATCCCTTCAAGATTTTTGCCTACAAACTGTGGTGGGGTGTAGCAGAAACCTTATTTTCTAAGATACCTCAGATGTTGTAGTCAAGAGGATTTGGGTCTGGAGATGATGGAGTCCATTCTTCCTTCGAAATGAAGTGAGAAACATAGGTTGCTAGCCACTCTTAAATTGTTTTGGCCTCATAAGAATAACCAATGTTAGTTTTTGAAAATATTTTTAGTCCAAAACAATAGTGATAAGTCAAGAATATGCTTCACATAATTTTCTTGCTTGAGTTTAACTCCTAAAAACTAGAGGATTTTCCTGTTGTAGGCACAGTAGCCTAGAGCATCACAGAGACTTGTCTTCGAGTAACTATCTGAGACTCATTGTCTCCAGCTTCAGACCAAATCTGAGAAACACTCCCATTTCCAGAAAAGTTTACTGCTACTGCAATAGAGAAGAATAAAAAAAATCTGTTGAAATGAGTTTCACTTCCACATCTTTTCTTTTACTCTCTAATTAATCACACATCTGTATTATTTTTTCTTAATTAAAAGAGATTTGTCCACAGCAATAATCACGTCTGCATTTTTTAACTTAGTTGTTTTAAGTTGTAATATTTCTATAAAATTTATATTTGAAAGATTAATTAATTTACTAGGGAAACATTTGTATTAAAGCAACAAATATCAAATAAAATATCAAAGACATGTCTCAAATAAAATGTCACTTTTTCAGACCTTTCATTACTGTTAAATGTTGTAGCTGGAAGCATTTATTCTAGTGCATTATTTAGCAATATATTCTCATAAGTCAGTTACAGTTTGAAATAAATATACTGAGTGGTCTATATAAGAGGAGTGCTGAAAACATTGAATGGTCTTTATAAGAGAGTGTATTGAACACCTTGAGTGATCTATATATGAAGGGGTATTAATGCATTGGGTGGTTTATATAATACTAGGTGCTGAAAACACTGTGTAGTCTATAGAAGAGAGGATGCTGAAAACACTGAGTGGTCTATAGAAGAGAGGGTGCTGAAAACATTGGTATATATAAAAGGAGCTGCTGAACACATTGAGTTATTTATTGAGAGTGGCTACTGAAAACATTCAGTTGTCTATATATGAGGGGGGTGAATAAATTGGTCTTCTGTATTTTGTGGTTTATAAGATGCCCCTGCATAGGACACTTGAGTGTCACCTCACAGCAGCTGAGGCATAACTCTTTGGGTTCAGACCCAAGGTCTCCTGAGACCAATGGATGTTATATACAAAGACATTCTGTTGCATTAGATGCCTTCTTCCCTAAATTTTGAAGGAAGAAATTGAAAAAAATGTTTTTCTTGTACTTTGTAGATCTCCCCACTATCCCTAATTTTACCCACTGAATAGCATATTTCAGCATGAAAACCTGACAAATCATGACAAATTCATCACAAACCAAGAAGTACCAAGTTTATAGTAACTATTTAGAATGTAATCATTAGAAGACTCCTGTAACCAACCTTTAATTTATAAAAATGCAGGGTAGTTTCTGGAGATATTTTATTGGAAAAAATGCATCGTATAAGCAGCAAAATACAGTATATAAGAAGAGATACTGAACATTAAGTAGTGTATATAGGAGGTGGTGATAAATACATTAACTAGTCTGTATAAAAGGGAGTGCTGAACATAGTGGTTGTATAAGAGGGATCACTGAATACATTGTTCTAGATTAGAGGGGATGCTGAAAAGTTCTTGGCCTAATCAAAAAACCCTTCCAAGAAAAAATTCTGATGTTTGGTTCAATTTTGGGAAGTGAGTTGGGTTAAGAACTTTTCAGTAACCTCTCATCTGTAGCCACATACCAAAGTTGGTTTAGTTCTATTGATATCTAAGATATGCTATTCATTTGTATGAATATCTCAAGTCGAAAAAGTTTTTTGATTTCAAAATCATTTGATTAGCAATTAAAATATATAGCTAATTTTGTTAATATATTTTATTTAATTTTTTGGCACCAACATTCAGGGAACTTAAAATGTGGTTACTTTTTTAGTACATCATTTTACTTATAATTATTGCTACATGATGCAAACAGTAGCCACTGATTATTTAAACAAATTAGCTGTAAATGTTTTTTGCATTTAAATAAGTAGCAAAGTAATCGTTCAAAGTAATGAGGTTAATCAAAGTAAGTGCTGTGTAATTTGTTGTGTTTTTGAGAGTTAATTTCATCCTTTACTAGAATATATTAAATGGCATAACTATATTTTTTCTTTAAGTAATGTTCTCTATTAGATTTTGTTTTCTTATTTCTAAAAGATTACATAAATGTTTTTGTTTAGGCAGGAGATGTTTTTGCCTTACACTGGTGAAAAAATATTACTATGTACATATTACTGTCGGAAGGTGGAGCCATTACCATATGTGTATGATATGATGGACAATCCATACTTAGGTTTGAGTAGAATGGTCTGTAAGTCATTTTACTGGAACTGTCCTTGTTCAACTTCAGGTTAGTGTTCTTTTTTTTTCATTTTGCATTTCTGACTGACACTATAGTTGTGACTTCAACTTAAAATTTATCTGCAATCTTTTAAAATTCAAGTTTCTATTCATGAAATATTTGTTAAGAAGAATATTTTTAAAAGAATACAAAAAAACATTAACAGAGAAGAATTGAAAAATGGATGAAAAAAACAGTTATGACAAAAATGAAAAAAAGAATGTTTAATTTCTGTAATCCACAGAAATCTCTTTTTATTTGGTTACAAATTTACCATTTATTTGGTAATTAGACAACATTGTCGATTGTAATTATATATCAAATAGTAAAGCATGCATATGAACACAATAATCTGACCTCTTCCCTTGACTTGTGACAGTTCAAATATAATATATTTACTTTTTTGCAACAAATTCAGAACAGGAGTTTATATCAGTGAAACAGGTATGGAATTCTGTCTTTGGTTTTGTTGTAACCTAAGAAAGGTTACTGAGTGAAGAATAACCAAAACGGAGGTTGGAAATGAAATGGTAATCTTTATAACATCAACAAAATACAATACTCACCAGCAGCATGAAGTAGGTAAACCATTGCTAGTGGTGGACTACTTAGACAGCATATTACCCTCACTTACAATAGTGTCCAATTAATTTATGAGGATTGGGACATACCCATTAGTGTTCATAGGTATGGTATATAACAGGTTTAATGACCATAAGCAATCTATCAAAGGCAACAACAACATCAGTTTTGCTGTAGCTGCATATTTGTACCAACTGGACCATAGTATTGGTAATGTTAGATGCGTCCTTTTAGTGTTTTCATTTAAATGCCAACAAGAGCACTAAAAGTCTGAATAAAAATACAATTTTAAAATAAATTCACACATTCTAGTTGGAAATAAGAATTTAGGTATACTCAATGAATATCATTTACACAGAGAGTCATCTACATATCCTCAACAACACTAATCATGGCAAACAACTAGACCAAAACTATTAGATTTTAGATCAGTAATATGCAGATAAAAAAAAAGAAGAAATTGTTGAAAATTATTTTTTTCCACTCTGAGTAAATTTCGGCTCTCAATAGTTTGCAGGAAGATATGAAGGTAATAAAATAATTTATTGAAACCTGAACCTTGCCAGTCTGCATGCAAAGTTCCTTGACCAAAGAGTGTAAAGAAAGAAAAACAAGTGTTTTTCTACTATAATAAATTGTTTTGATAAACATTTTTTTTTTTTTTTTTTTAACCAATGGGTACTTGAGCCAGTTGAAATCTTAAATACGTGTGTTGACTGCCAAAATTTCTTGGGCAAATTGGAGCCAAACTTTGGATATAAAAATCCACACAATAGCGACCACCACAGCAGTAGGAGATGCGATGCAGAGGAATGAGACATGATGCCTTCTAAAAACATCTAAAAACCAGATTAAGCGGCTGCAAAAACAAACTCCTCAACAAAGTCTTGACAACTAAATTGTTGTTTTTATGACAGAATTAACTCATTTTCACTTGATTTTGTAACAAAATAGTCATTTCCATAACAGAGAGCAAGTACTGTTTGAAAAACACTGCTCTATGCTGAGCTCCAAAGGCACGAAAGGATTCTGTCACGAACTTCGTCAACACACGTCAAATCGCAAGAACTATTAAGAATATTTTCATTTTATATCTTCAGAGTAAATATACACTTTTAACTGGGTTTGACCTAACTGAAACCTCTTTATTGTACCTTCTTTGTAATTTGCATTGTTTTGTATATGCTGGCATTTTTCCTGTGATATTTTATTTTATTTGATTGATTTTTGATTGTAAACTTGATCTGTTTCCCCACAACTACCACTGAGCCTTATTTTAGAAAAAATAAGTTACTGTCCAGGAATTATCCCCTTTTTTCTTTTACAAACCACCAAATTTGTGCATCCTTAATATTTAGTAAAATGTTCTTTTTAATAAAATTGTTTTGGTTTTATATCTCACTGAGTATCTCTCATCATTTTTTTATGGTGCACCTTGTTGTCACTTGATCTCCATTCTCCCCAATCTCTTTTAACTGAACCTATAAAAATATACAATTAATAGTCTTCTTTATTCCTCCTTTTTTACATACCCCCATCAGTCCAATTTCATTATTTATTTCTCATTGAGAAATGACAATGGCTTGTCTGAAAATTCTGATTTTTAACATCTTTTCTCATTATGCTTCTATTTGGTCAAAAGACCTACTAATATACAATAAATATTAGTCTTATTATTAGTATTATTATTATTTTTTTATCGCAAATTTCTTTCATCGGCTTACTATATCTTCACACACATGCATGCATGCATATATATATATATATATATATATATATAAACAAAAATTTGGTATCACAGAATTTAAATATTGCTTTGAAAATGATGGCAAAATTCTTTTAAAGTGACCTTTTTTCGTCCAACACTTCAGAAAGATTTGTTGGAATGACAATATTCAAAATAGCAAAACTGAAAATAGGTAGACATGGGTTAAATAAGGACCGACAACTAAAAAAATATTATTACTAAAAAAACAAACAAAATGGTGTAAATAAGCCTCTAGTGAGTATAACACATAAAAAGAATTACTCACAACCCACTCATGAGACAGAGAACAAAGAAAGTTCTCTTTCTGCTTGCACAAAGTCGATCGATGTAGCTTGATGCAAACAGCTTTTAAAAACTGCAAATATTTAACCGACTGAGTCTTATGAAGCACCCTGAACGCTTTGTGAACATATTCGAAAGCACAACCCAGGTTATTAATCAAATGATGTCCAATCACTGACACACAAACTGACTGAGTCAAGTGATTACTGTTACTAGCTCCACCCTGTCTGATATATATAGTAAATATGTTAGAAAATTTAAACATGCTTCATCAAGGAACTAGTGTCATATGCTAAAGAATTTTATTTCAACAAAATCTACATTAGTGAAACAAAATGTGTTTTATGTTAAGCAGCTGAATTTCTGTTTGTCTACAAATGGTCTATCTCTGACACTAAATGCTTTTGAATACTCATAGATATATAATTATATATAAATGATTTATAAATTTTTAAACAATATATATATATATATATATATATATATATATATATATAGTTCTAAAAATTTATAGACCTTTAAATGTTAATGAAAATAATTGTTAGTAAGATTCAAATCTCTAATAACCTGAAACAAATCTAATAATCAATTATTTTAGAGCCAATAAGAAAAGATTCTAATTCAAAGGATTCAGCTGACAACTTCTTGTTGAATTGTTATAGTTTAAAAAGAAACTCCTTTCTTAGATTTATGGACCAATCAGAATCTCTCTAAAAAAAAAACAGTTTCTTTGATCTGACTACTATGATATCAGTACTCTTGTATGGCAGCGAATGCTGAACAATCTCCTCATAGATGAAGAAGAGACTTGAAGCAACAGAAATGTGCTTCTACAGAAAGATGCTGAGGATACCATAGACCTAACATGTGAGCAACAATAAAGTTTTGGAGAAAATGGAAACAAAAAGGAAAATTATGTTTAACATCAGGAAGAGGCTGTTGAAATTTCTGGGGCACATAATGATGAAAGTGGACTTGGAAAAATTGATACTCACAGGACAGATTAAGAAGGAAAAGGGACAGAGAAAAGCAGTGTGTAACATACTTGATGAGCCTGAGTAAATGAATGGTAGAACAGGGTTTGGGAGAAATAACAAAAAAACAAAACTTATCAAGTGCTGTAAGGGACAGGAAGATATGGAGAGCCATGATTGCCTACCTCCTGAAGGGATACAGTACATAAAAGAAGGACCTTTATATAAGGAAAACTCCATCAGTAGAGTAAAAATCCAGTTCATTTATCTCTCTCTCACACACACACCTCAGGCTAAATTTACTCAATGATATTACTTATTCAAAGAATGAAGATCTCTCAATGAAAAAGATACCTATTTTATTTTATTTTTTGCAGATGGTCCCCTCAGGTACTGTCCAGCTTCAACTTGTCCAGTTCTTACTAAATATCCAAGGATACAGGTAAAAATAATGTTTCTAATTTATATACCAGGTGCATTACACCTGACTTCTTTTCCACATCATTTTAAGAGAATTCTGTCATGTCCACTAAAATATCAAATACAATATTTATAAACCAATTACACTCAAGAAAATATATCTTAAGACACACCAATAAAATGATAGAATACAAATCAGAAAATTTGTTGTATTAGTCATCATGATTTTAAAAATATTTTTAAATAATTTATTTCTTCCTAATTGGCCCTAAAAATCCACGTGGTATGTCTTCTACTATGTCCTCACAATATTTGGGCAGTATCTACCTAAAAATCATGATGACTAATTCAACAAACTTTCTGAGTTGTATTCCATGATTTTATTGGTGTGTTTTAAGATGTATTTTCTTGAGTGTAATCATTCTTATTATAAAACCCAGGTTGTGTTTGTGTGTGTCTGTACGTTTATATATTGGATCAGATTTCCTACATTTTTTAACCGATTTCAACAAAATTTCACAGGACTACATAAAATTATCTTGCAGTGGTTCTGACAGTGCCAAAAATTGGAAAAACACAATTGTTTTTGTACGAAATCAATTTGAAAACACGATTAAGAGGCATTAATGAAAGGGGGACAACTCACATCGAGTTATACTTATAAAACCCAGGTTGGTTGTTTGTGTGTGTTCGTTTATATATGGGATCGGATTTCCTACATTTTTCAACCGATTTCAACAAAACTTCACTTTTTTTTTTTTTTTTTTGGCAGGTAGTGTTTCTTATTGTCTTGCACACTTTTTTTCTTTATTTTTACATTCAGAATGCTTTAAAAATTCCATTTACAAGACAATTGTTTATAATAAAATTCTATTCAATCGGTAGACTCATAACGATTGAAAACAATGTTTTTGTTTGAGTTTGGGTTTGACCAATTCGTAAAAAAAACCCCAAAAAACAAGAAAAAACTAATTAAGACATGCGTGTCGGTCAACTTTAAACAATAATCTTTGTCAATTTTATTTTTCAGTCTTTATGATGGTCGATACTTGATCTATCTCTTACTGTTACATCTCCAGGCAACGCCGGGCTCTACTGCTAGTTGGTTTATAAATATTGTATTTGGTATTTTACTGGACACAACAAGTCTTTATATATTTTTACAATATTATGAATTTGTATTTTCACTATAGGAATATAAACATTTATGCTGTTTATTTGATTGAAAAATAAATGGCTACTATAATTAAATCTTTGCTTTGAGACTAGAGACTCCCAAGAGGATGCTTTCACTGATCCTTACAATCCTAACCTGTTCAAGTCTAGGGTTAACTGTTATCTTCCCCTCCTATCCATACAAACTGCCTATTAATGTAACCCTCTACCTTGATTGTCCCCAGGTAGTGTACTGGGTAAACATTACTGTAAAAAAAAAAAAACAAGTAATGTTTATCTTTTCTTTGAAACATCTTAAATTAACAAACAAGTTTGTAATTTTATTGATGACTTATAAAAATTTGAATTTAATATATGAAAATTTTGTATAAAATATAAAAATTTAACATAAAATGTATAATAATTTTATTGTCACAAGAGAAAATAATGACATAATCAAGAGGTTGACGTTCCACACTACCTCAATTAAGAAGTTAAGATGGAAGCCCCCATCAATACTGGAATGATCAATAACATCTACTGGACTTGAGAAACTTATTTTCCTGAAAAATTGTTTTAAGAAAGATTTTATAAATTTCAACCGATGGTAAAACAGGCTTCTTGGTTAATGAATGCTAAATATTTTTGTATAAGGAAATGGCTAATATTACAATTACCATTCTATGGGGGACTGGGGGACCTATGAAAATGTGTGGTTACGTTAATCCAAAACTATCAAATAATTTTTATATATATATATATATATATAATATATATACACACACACAAGTTTCATTAAAGAAGACTGATGAGGTACTGTGATTAAATTTTTTATTTAATTCTTGTGTTCATATAATTTCTTTTCTGGAAAGTTTTTCTTAAGTTGTATAAAAATTGTCCATATGTTGTGTATGTCTGAGCACTTTCAACTATTCTATTAGTCATTATCAAGTATGATTTTTATTTTTACCTCAACTTGATATCTATGCTGATAATGCAACCATTTCTTGATAGTAAGTCAGAAAATTTAAATATGAAAATTTTGAATAAAATATAAAAATTTAACTTAAAATTTAAATATATTTTATTCATTATTTGATTGGAAAAGATGGTTACTCTGATTAATCTTGGTTTTGAAATCATTCTAATATAAAAATGTAAATGCGATTTTCTTTTCCTTTTGAGGATCTTAAATTTTCAAATAGGGCTCAATCCTTGATCCTAATTTATTCTTAATTTTCATTAATGATCTTCCTGATAGCATCAACTCTTGACTTGGTATTTATGCTGATGACACAACCATTTACTCCTGTCTCGATAATAAGTCTGATCAGTTTGATAAGGTCAAATTGGCAGCTCATCTCGAAAATGACCTACAGTATGTTGTTAACTGGGGTAAAGAATGGCTTGTTAATTTTAATTACTCCATAACAAAATGGCTCTCTATTAATCATCTGAGAAACCCCTTTCTGCCTTCCATCAGCATGGCTGATGCTAACCTCCAGGAGAGTGATTTGTTGTGCCTTCTTGGGCTAACATTCTCAGCTGACATGCAATAGAAAGACTATATTGAATCCATTGCTAGGTTTGTTGTTAAGAAATTTTGTTCACTGTGCAGTGCTAGACAATTTTTCTTTCCAGAATCTGTCTTGTATATCTATAAGGCTACCATTCATCCAGGCTTTGAATATTGCTGCTACATATGGTCTGGTGCGCTTGCTATATATTTAGAGATTCTTGATAAAATCCAAAGGAGAATCAGCAATATTATTGGTCCTGAACTTGCATCTAAGCTTCAGTCACTTTCTCACTGCCATAATGTAGCTTCCCTGTGCCTTTCTTATAAATACTTTCATGGTAATTGTTCAGAGATGCTCTTTACTATGGTACCTTATGAATTTAAGTGCAGTACTAGATTGGCAGTATCGTCTCATCAATTCACTGTTGAATTAGATAGATGTAACTGCAAGTTCTATGCTAACAGTTTCTTTTCTCTCATTTTTCACTTGTGGAATGCACTTCCGGCTCCATGATTTCCAACCAACTTTAACATTCAAACATTTAATGCATTATCAATTGTTATCTACTGTCTTCCCGATTACTCTTCTATTGTTCTTGCTTCTTAATATTTTTTTCTTTTTTTAATTCTTTCATACTCAGTAACCTATTGTTTCTTAGTGGCTTTACTGTCTGGCATGGGGTGAATTCAATTAAAAAAAAATTCAAAAGCCAACTTTCAAAATTCTAAAAATTTAATTTCAAGTATAAAAATTCAACATCAAATATAAATATTTAACTCCATTGTTCTCGCAAAATTAGCGCATAAAGTATGTTTCTCTTGAGTTCCTTTACTGTTGCTGGATAATTTTGATAGGTAACACTGGATAAAATTTTTATCTATCATTTTTTTGTACGTCATTAGTTTTTCTTGTTAAATTTTTTCCCAGAAGACAGAATCAATGCCTTTTGAAGTGTCAGTCAAAATGCCTCTTCAAAGGGCATCAACTCTGTCTTCATTAGCAAGGCAGTTATCTGTCCTTAGGCCACGTTTCGATTTATTCTTTCCTTTAACTTTTTCACTGTCACAAACAAAATAACTTGTCTTATCCGATCCAGTGCTACATTTTATGATAGTATTATTCAAAAACCCGATAAAAAGTATAACGTTTATTTAGACAATTCCAAACGACAAAGAAATATGCGCAAATGTACTCATTGTAAAGTGCTTCATGTGTGGATCCAAGTTTTAAGTTCATAACTGTTAAATATTTCATTTTTTCTGCCTGAATTTTTGGGATAAGCAGTTATCATTATTTATACTATTTACATTCAGACTATTGTCCTCATCTTTGTCATTATCACAATGTTTCGGACATTGTGACTACAGTGTGAATTTGAGCTCAGTGGAAACGGGTCAAGCAATAACTGAGCAGTACTAAAAATAAGAACTAGACAAGATATTCCTAGATATGGGCAGTGGAATGGGAACAGTCTACCACTGTAGATTAAATAAAGGTTTGGTTTGAAATTTCATGTAGGTTACCTGGATTGATATATATATGATGAAGGCTAGAGGGTATAAACGTGATAACAATAGCAAAAATGAACACAATAGTCTGAATGTAAGTAATGTAAATATTTTATTTTTGTATATACTAGTTTGATACCCATGGCTTCACTGATGGTAAGATGATCAAATTTCAAATCTAAATTGTTTGTTAATTTAAAATGCTCCATTTATTTGAAAATATGTTCAGTTTAAATATAGGAGGAGTCATAAAAAATAATGTTGCAGGTTGTACTGATGATGCAATGGCCTTGTCTGAATCTACTTCTTATATATATGTAATTTTATTTGGGGGTTCATCATCATCCCCCACAACGAAAATATATAAATTACGAACAAATCATATACAAGATGTAGCACAATAAGTTTAAGCCAAAAAGATAAAAGGCTTTCATATAAATTTCAGAGCAAATTGTATATTCTGAAGAAAATATATGCATACAGAAATAAGATTTTGCTTATCTGGTAAGGAGCCACATGGTCTGTCAGAGCACTGTCTGCAGATATCTGCTTCATTTGGCCACTGAAGTTGAAGAGAGAGAAATTTAGTTTCTGTTTCAGTTGGCAGCAAAAACACCTGTTCCGGTGCATGATGGGAGTTCACATATTTATTTAACTATTTTTTTTATAATCTCTCTTTTTCTTTCTTTATTGTTAATTATAATTTTAAAGTAATTTTATTACATTATTAATTATCAATTATTTTGGTTTCATATTCTTACATAGTCTAGTACTAAGAGATAGAGGTTATACAGTGAGTTATTTGTTGCTATCACTACAATTATTTTAAAAGGCCACTCATTATATTCTTTTCTTGCTAGCTAGACTGGGGAGATTATCCCTCGTGACACAGATGTCCATTTCAATTTCATTCAAATTGTGTGTGTATGTACATTTGCAGATCACATATATATTTTAATCCAATAACCGATCCATAAACACATTTAAAAATTTTTTAAAAAAAGCTTTAAAAATAATTCTGACATTTTCAGAAATGTTTAATAAAATCTTAGAATTATCTGATTTTTTTTTTTTTTTTTTTAGGGCTTAAAAAATGTTTTTTTTCTTGTAACCAACTTTATTGCTCAGCTCAGAGTAGGAGGTTGTTCAAACTGAGCAGGAGGATAATGTATTATTCCAATGTCTTATTTCAAATATAGTTAAATTATATATGTGCATATGTTTGTGAGTACATTAAATGACACAAGCATATGTAAGTCACTTACACACAACATAGACATACGCATCTACATTACATATACATATGCAAAGTCAGACTCAGACAGTATATGATGAACAGAGAATCACCTCTTCTTTTATAATATGGATTATTATTATTCACAGCATATGAGGCTTATGGCCATGTCATGGTGAAACACCAGTGCCAGTAATATCACTGGAGTTAAGCAATGTTGAGCCTGGTCAGTAGCTAGGGTGACTGCTTGGGAATACAAGGTGCTGTAAGCTTGGATGCGCAAGTGGTGTAATGGCTAATAGCTCAGAATTGTTAATTGGAGAGTCGAGTTACAATTCCAATTGGATTTGTTAAATTCACTTACAAGCATATGGCCACATCATGTTGAAACACTACTTTCCAGTCAATCACTGAAGTTAAGCAACATTTATGCACAAATACCATTGGGAAAAGTATGAATCCACCCATTTTCCACCAGCTATGGGTTAATTAGTAAAACTAGTATAAGTAAACCATTATTATCTCACCATTATTATTAAAATTCTTATAATCTAGAAATATTTTCTGGCTTTAAGTGACCTGCAAGAGGTTGATAAGTCAGAGAAAATGAATCAGTCAATATTCATTTACATGCAAATACCTTTGAGAAAGGTATAAATCCACCACTAATCCCCAAGCTATGGGTTAATTAGTAAGATTTGTATCACTACATCATTATTATCTCCTCCCACAAAATCTAAAAATATTTTCTTGCTTTAATAACCTGCATCATAATCAGCAGAGTGCATTCAGATTACCATTTGAGAATTTTTTAGAACATTTATATTAAGTCTAAGCAGCCTTCCCTCTGTGAGCAGTAGGAATGAGTGCTGGATTTATATGTAATCTGTTTGTAACTTATATTGCTGATTCCTTTGTAGTAATTTTTTCTCTCCCTGTTTTGTAGTAATTGTGCACATATTTTTGTCTTTGATTGGTTCTGAAGACTGGTGATTGATAACCGGTTAGCCTCTATCTTGATATTGCTTTTTTGTTTTTTATGAACCATCGCTTTTACAGTGAATAATGTTTTTTTTTTTTTTTTTTTTTTTTTTGCTTATCCTTGCACTTCCTTCCCTTTGTTTTATATTTTTGTATATATTTATCATCATCATCAATCTCTTAAATGCTTCAATTTTGGTGGGGGGTACCTGAGTGCGGAAGAAACAGACAACCTCCTCCAGTCTGATCTGTTGGTGGTGGCTCACAGTAGTTACAGCATTGTCATATCTGTTCACTGTTTCTCTAAAAGCATACTGGGTGCAAACATTATGTACACACTTTTAAAATGTCTGTTTTTAAAACTTTTAATAAACAAGTAAAAAATAAATTTAAAAAAAATATTTTATTATTATACTTGTATAATATTATTATTATTATTGTAATACTTATTATAATGCTCATTATTATTATGTATATTATTATACAATAAAATATATTATTTTTATCCAGTTCTGGGTTTGACGATAAACTACATCCAACAGCTAGGCCTCTGATCAGGTGGTTTTGAGGAGCGTGGAACCACCTCTTAATTGCTGGTAGCACCTGTTAGGATTCCAGCTGTGGGCAAATAGTTAACTCCCAAACTGGGGTCAAGACACTATGAAAATATAAAAATAGGTTTTAATACCAGCAATACATTTTTGAAAAAAAAAAAATATTACCAGCAATACATTTAAAAAAAAAAAAAAAAAATTACTAGCAATAAAAATTTTGGTTGGCATTAAATAACCCATCGAGATTGATATACTGTAAAACAAAAAAGACCAAGCCAAACCATATTATTTTTATACTGTTATATTGGATGTTATTATCCCCATTTTAGTAATACAGTATAGTCTTTCTACTTAAACAATATACATTGGTAAATTATATGTTAAAGAATATATTATAAATAAATTATAAGTAAATTAGAATATATATCAATATATTTTGGTAAATCAATAATTCTGTAGCATAATTGTGATGAAATAATTTTCTTTAGACAACAAATGTTCATCTTTGAACCTGATCTTCTTCCTTGTCAATAACACTTAATTCAGTAATGAATATTTTTCTGTATGCTTTGTTGATCTTCTTTAGACTGGTGTCTCAAGTGAAGTCTTTGTTAACAAGCAGACGTCAGAGCCTTCAACTTCTCTCACTGTGGTTTGTGTGATGACAGAAAATGCTGCTACTGGAGAAGCCAGAACCATTCTAAGCAGCATCCAGGAAGCACCCATCTCCTTCCAACAGGGCCTTTGTTTTCAGGCGATGGTTCTGCGAATATTCTGCTCTCATAATCCCTCAGTGCTAAACATGAAGAAATGTCGCCAAAATGTACAAAGGTAAGATAGCACTTGAAGTCCTTTTTTTAAAATCTCCCTGTTTTTGTAATGTTATGAAACAAAAAAACACACACACATATATATATATATATATATATATATATATATATATATATATATATATATATTGTTGTAATGGAATGTCCCACACTCCCTACCGCCTGTGTGGACTCACTATATCAGTAGATATATATATATAGTAAGCACAGGATATACCTGGCAGACTTGCTTCGGGAATTACTAGCCTGCTAACTGATTCCCTGTCTTTCAGTAGTGTATTCTCTTTTAAAATAAACCTCTGTTTCTTTCATCTACGCCTGTGTTGCTGTTCTTTTCACTCGAGTATCACCTGTTTGTAACCTTCTTTAAGGATATAACAAATATATATATTAGGGTGTACCAAAAATACTTTTTACAAATTTTGTGGGTGGGTTCCTCATGCTGAAACGAGGACAAAAGTTCATATAAACATAAGTCCAGAAATCCTTTGTTTTTAAATTATTAAGTTTAAAGTTTATGGTAGATGCTGTTAAATGTACAATCCAAGATACAATACTTTTACAAACTTTGAGGGCAGGTTTCTGACACCAAAAAGGTAAAATGTCTATATAAGCATATGCACAAAAGGCCATCATTGTACCTCAACACAGCAACTCATAACAAATGTTCAAAATGTCCTCTGCTTGCTTCTACACATGTATGCACCCTTTGGATCATTGACTGGTGGACCCTTTCAAATACTCCAACACACTGTTGAATGGTTTTGCGGGCCCCCATGACACATTGTTCATGCGTCTCTGCATTATTAATGCCTGTGCATAAACCAATTGTTTTAGGTGGCTGCACAGATAAAAGTCCAAAGGATTGAAGTCAGTAGAACATGCAGGCCATAAAACCAGTCCTCCTCTACCTATCCATCTTTTATGGTAGTTGTCAACCAGTGCATCCTGAACAAGTTGCCTAAAATGTGCTGGAGTCCCATCATACATGAACCACGTGCATCTTTGTATTACCAGGTGTACATCCTCTAGCAGGTCTGGAAGTATGTTCAAAATAAAGTTTCTGTAGACATCTCCTGTAAGATGTGCTGGGAGAACATATGGACCTACCAGACAGTCACCTACAATTCCAGCCCACACATTAATTGTAAACTGATGTTAGTGTCTAGCCTGTATTGTACCATGGGGATTCCGATCTGCCCACAAATGTTGGTTTGGGCAAATTTCTTATTACATCTCTTCCAAATGTTGACTCATCTGTAAACAAAACTGAAGAAGCAAGCAATGCATCGGCATTTTGCATAATAAACCATCGGCAAAAGATCTGCAGTGAGTGATCAGTGTGCAAAAGACCCTGCTGACATTGCAAATATATGGATACGGATACAGGAGCTCTGGAAATATATGGATACGGATACAGGAGCTCTGGAAATATACGGATACAGATACAGCAGCTCTGGAAATACCCTCCATGTGGTACTATGATAGGTAATGCTTTTGCCACTTGACATGTGCTGATACCTGGATTGTCTCTGACAGCCTGTAGAATGTGTTCTTTGTGGTCAGGTATATGAGTGGATCTTGGTCTTCCTCGATCCATAGTTTGTGGTGCCATGGATCCTGTCTTAGCCAACCTTTGCTGGTGTTTATCATCATGTTGCTAACTCGGTTGCCTTCAGTCTGGAAACAATCTAATACAGCTGTGCAGCCTCCCATTCATTACCATTCGTGAGAACACGTAAAAATCATATCTGCTCATGATATGAATATCTTGCTATTGTTAAACAAAATACTTCTCAGTTAACTCACTACTACAAATATTAAAGGTTGAAGACAGACTAAATGTACATGAATGCCAAATGTAACCTAGTCTACATGGCAACACAGCGTCATTTACTGTAAATTTCCTTTAAACTTAATAACTCAAACATGAAGGATTTGTGGCCTTATGTTTATGTGGACATTTGTCCTTGTTTTGGTGTAAAGGAAACCACCCCAAAGTTTGTAAAAGTATTTTTGATACAATATATATATATATATATATATATATATATATATATATATATATATATATATATATAATGAAAATAAATAAACACATATACCTACATTTGGTGTTCAACTTAAGTTTTGTTGGTTACCCAACTCGTTGCAAGACAGTATATAGATGTTTATGTGGACATTTGTCCTTGTTTTGGTGTGGAAGCCCACCCCAAAGTTTGTAAAAGTATTTTTGATACACCATATATATATATATATATATATGAAAAAATTAATAAATACACATATACCTACATTTGGTGTGCAACTTAAGTTTTGTTGGTTACCCAACTCGTTGGGTGCAAGACAGTATATAGATGCTCATGGAATGGATGGTGACTCATAGTTCAAAATTAAAATAGTACAAAAATAGTACTAAAGCAATACTGGATGTTTAGTTGCAGGAAATGAGGTGTAGGTATGAGTTGATAATAAAAAAAAAAAGGAATTGAAGTACACTTAAAATTTAAAATTTGAACTATGGATGCTGTTCATAAAACTCGTTTAACTGATCAAGGGAGGTAATCAGTTTATGACCTAAAATAAGAGTGAGTGGAAAATTAAAATTTGAAATTAAATTTAGATGAAAAGTGAGTTATCCAGGATTACAGTATTTTAAGAGAAACATCTTTTTATGTATACAAGTAGACATAAGTTCATTCCATTTATTGAGTATATTTGAATTATTAATAATTTTTAGGATGAATAATTTTTCATGTAAACATAGATTGCACCTGTCCTCCCTGCCTGTGAATGGATTGATTTTAGCGACCAATTCCTAATTCATTGCAGGTGTGTAGCCATCTTATTGCATGATGGAAGCTTTTATTCTGGACTGCTCCACCAAAAACATACCTGTCCCTAAAAAGAATCAGTACGAACTTAGCTTATTGCACATATTTGAGATTGTCGTGAGTAGAATGAGATGAAAACTGTTTTTCACCAAAAGAGAACACCCTGATGAATGTGAATCCACCAATTCCTTTGGATTTAAGTCACTGAAAACACCGCCTCATTGAATTTGAAAAGGATTTATTCTCTGTAATTGATAATATTAAATATGTTACCAAACACAACAACCTACAGAAGAGTATGATGAAAGACATTGCCAAAAAACTGATAAAATCATCAAATCATATAAAACTTGCAACCTATATTATTATAATGTTGCCGAATATCATAAATCTATCTACAAAGAAATGAATAGAGTATATAAGAAAGCCCCTGCTGAATGGGGAAAATGATATCCACATTGAGGCACGAACCACAGCCACTAAACTTATGATCAATGATAGGGTACATAAGCTTCACAAAAAACAGGCTTTTATTATTGTTTAGGACCACAAGAATGATTTCCCCAATAACCCACGGCTGTGATTAATTAACCTTTCTAAAAATAATATAGGCAAAATTAGCAAGGCTATACTTGAACAAGCCTGTAATTACACCTGGAGTGCCACAGGGGTCAATCAATGGAATATCCTAAAGATGCTATCAATTGGTTTGCTAATATAAAAAGTAAGAGCAAGTGCAATTCGACATCTCCAACTTTTACTTATCAATCACTGATGATCTATTAATGGGCACTATGAGCTTGGTCAAGGATTATTGCACCATCTCTGACAAGAATATCAGCATCATTATGCAAGCGCCAAAACCCATCCTATACCATGATGGTTCTTTGTGAGCCATAAAAGACAACCCAAACTTCTCTATATAGTGATGGGAACATTTGACTCTGCGGAAGCTTGTGAATTAGTCAACATACTACTATGGAAGCTCAAGCATACTTTCAACAGTGAGAGAACTGGCCTATACAGAGATGACGGAGTTATATTTCTATGCAACTCCAATCCACAGCAAACTGACCGGCTCAGGAAACAACTAATCAAATTCTTTAAGGATCATGGATCATGAATATCACCATTGTCACCATGGTGATCAACTTTCTAGATACTACTTTTGATCTATCCAGAGGAGTGCACATGCCTTATAATAAGGAACTTTATAATCATATATACATTAGTAAAGAATCTAACCACCCACAAAGTATCCTTAATAACCTGCACATATCTGTCCAACATAGACTCTCTACTAAATCCAATAATAAATATATCTTTGATAAATTCAAAACCAAATATGTTGATGCCCTAAATAAAAGTAAGCACAATATTAAACTAGAGTATGTCCCAAACACTAGCGCAAATACCAATAGTAAATGTAGGAATAGAAAACGCAACATGATTTGATTCAACCCACCTTTCAATAGTAACATCAGGATCAACATCGGCAGAATCTTCCTTAAATTAGTACACAAACACTTTAACCATAACCCTTTTTAAAAAAAAAAAACTTCAACAAGAACAACATTAAGGTTAGTTACAGCTGCACTAGAATGGTGTAACCCTAAATAAATACTTCAGTAAATATAATTACAACAGTAGCTACGATGATCAAAAATGGAATTGCCGGTAAGAGAATATCTGTTCTTTGAATGGCAAATGTATATATAAAGGAGTTATTTATAAGGCTAGCATCAAGCATAATGACCAAATTAAATTTTATTTTGGGTCAACTGCTAATAATTGGAAAAATGTTTTTATCATCATAAAATGACCCTTAGCAACAAAAAATATGCAAATGTCAGAGCCCTTCCAAAGTTTTATTGGGGTATTAAAACAGATAGCTACATACCCACACTGAATTGGGGAATTGGTTGCTAAAATTAATCCATTTCTAGGCAGGGAGGACAGATGCAATCTATGTTTACACGAAAAATTATTCATCCTAAAAAATATTAATAATTCAAATATACTCAATAAACGGAATGAATTTATGATTACTTGTATGCATAAGATGTTTCTCTTAAAATATTGTAATCCTGGATAATCCACTTTTCGTCTAAATTTAATTTCAAATTTTAATTTTCTGCCTGCTCTTAATTTAGGTCGTAAACTGATTACCTCCCTTTGATCAATCAAACGATTTTTACAAACAGCATCCATCGTTCAAATTTTAAATTTTAAGCGTACTTCAATCCCGTTTTTTTTCTCTTTTTTTTTTTTTTTAGTATTGACTCATGCCTACACCTAATTTCCTGCACTTAAACCCCAGTATTGCTTTAGTACTAATTTTGTACTATTCTAGTTTTGAACTATGAATCAGTGACACACCATGAGCATCTGTATATTTTTAAAATAAACAATAAGCTGTATCTTGTGCATAACAAGTTGGGTAACCAACAAAACTTAAGTCACACACCAAAGGTAGATATATGTATATTTATTAATATATATTTCTTATCTCTGTCTAATCACATTGATCACTATTATGTCTACACCTCTTGGCTAAATTTGGTAATTATTTATTTGCTTACCAACATGTGCATGCCAGCATGCACATATACGGTCACTAATATCTAGTTATTTCATTTACCTAACCCTATACTTACATGTATATATGAATGATAAAATATAATTTTAAGGTATGCTATATTTATGGGTTAAAGTGCTCAATATCAGGTATATAGCATATGAAAATATAAAAGTGTACATTGAAGTCAACACCCATGATTTGATGATTGTGTTAAACATGAAACAGACTGTTGCCTCTAGGTGTTGACTTCAATGTCCACTATATATATATATATATATATATATATATAGTCTTCTAAAAAACATATATATACCATGTCTATCAGCCTGCATGTTCAAGAAATTCTAATAATGAAAATGTGTGTTCTCTGGCAGGGATCAAACCTGTGTACCCCTTTTTTTAGGGAATATATATATATATATATATATATATATATATATATATATATAATTTTATATGCACAGTACTTTGTGGAAAGTGCTTAATATCAGTGATAGAGCAGACATATTTATTTGTATGGGTATGAGTTTGTGACCCTGGCAGTTTGTCTGATGATCGCAAAAGTGTGAAACCTAAGGTCACACTCATATCCATACAACTGAATATACATACATACATATATATATATATATATATATATATATATATATTCCCTGCTGGTAGTATGATCGTTTGGTCTTGTGGCAAGAACTGACCATGGATGATGTCCATAGCTCACGCAACACATCCAATCCTGTTACTTTTCAGACAGACCTTGTGCATGTGGCCGAGGGGTTAGAATACTCGCTTTCTGACCATCAGACTTAGGTTCAAATCTCACCACGGTTAATTTGTCAGGAAGGTGACTTACTAATGTTATTGAATTGGATAGAGGTTGATCCCAGCAGGCGGCACCTTTGGAAAGTGCCTGAAGACTATAACACATGTTGACCTAAGCCTTGTGAGTGAAATAGGGTAGACGGAACTCTTATGGGCCATTGATAGCTGTGCTAGCACAAAACCACAAGTCATCATGGCCGAGGGTTTGAGCATGCTGGCTTTGTTCAAATTGTTGATCATGCTAGATATCACGCTCTCTCCCAGAAACTGTAACTAAGGTCTGCTCAGCATAGTTGCATTATAAGCGACAGGTGGGCTCTGTAGGTGTTGAGCAAACACAAATATACTTGAGTGAGCGTCTGCAATAAGGATTGGCTAGCCGTCCTAATAGACAGGTATCCTTCAATATGAGTGGTCATCTATTATATATATATATATATATATATATATATGTGTGTATGTATGTTATTTTCTCTATCTTTCTCAAATTATAATTTAAAAACTTAATGATATTTTTTCTCCACACTACTTCAGAGTATAAACACATGTTACTAAATAAAAAATTTCCACACTTGCCTTGATAACAAGAGGCGATGGCATAAAAGCTTTTTCTATTTTTGTTTTGCAATATTTATGTATTTTTTCTTTTTTTGCAGCTGGTCAGTTTTAGTGGAAGATAGCCAGGGCACTGTATGCATTGTCCGTATCCCAGAACAAAAAACAGGATCCAAGAACTCATTGACTCAACTGATTCAGTCAGCTGAAGGTGAAACCTGGAATTTCTTTGGGCTTCGTGTTTTTAGTCGGTCGAACAGACACAAGTGAGTGAACTCATAGTCTTGAAAATATAAAGTAAATTTCCAACTTTTTTTTTAATCATTTCACCCCAAACAATGCAAGCGATGCAATTCTGAGTGAAATGGAAATCCTACATGGATTCATTATTAGTGGCCACAATCTTAACAAGATAAGATATGCAGATGACACAGTGCTGATAGTAGACATGGAAAGGAAACTACAAGACGTCCTACAGAAGGTAACAAAGAAGGACGAGAAGAAGGGGCTAAGCATAAACTACAAGAAGACAGAATTCATGGTCATCAGCAAAAAGATGAGCAATGCAATTTACAGGTTGGGGACACTATAATCAAGCAGGTGTGGAAATTTAAATACCTGGGAAGTGTTCTGACAGAGGATGGAAAGTGTGACACTGAGATCCTAAGATGCATTCCAAAAGTTAGGTAGAATATTATGAGACAGAAGGTTTTCGTTGGTAATAAAGAAAAGAATACTTAACATGATATCTGTCCTCCTTTACAGTAGCGAATGTTGGACAATCTCCTCAAAGATGATGAAGAGACTTGAGGTAACAGAGGTGTGAATCTACAGAAGGATGCTAAGGATACCATGGACCAAACATGTGAGCAACAATGAAGTGTTTGGAGAAGATGCAAAGAGGAATCTTATACTTAACATAAGGAAGATACAACTGAAATTTCTGGGAGACATAATGAGATAGGAGGGCTTGGAAAATCTGATCCTCATAGGGCGGATGGGAGGAAATTGGGACACAGGAAAGCAATGTGTGACATACTTAACAGGCTTAAGCAAGAACAGGGTCTGGAAGAATTAGCAAAAGGACAAAACTTATTAAAAGCTACAAGGGACAGGAAGAGGTGGAGAGCCATGATCGCCTGTATCCTGAAAGGACATGGCACATGAAAGAAGGCAATAAAGCCGCTAAGATGCAAGGAGTTACTGAGTGTGAAAGAATACGAGAAAAAGAAAAAACATTATTAAGGAGAGAGAACAATAAAATCACAGGAATTAAGAAAACAGATAATAATTGATATACATTAGAAATTTTTGAAGTCCAAAGTTGACTGGAAAGTAAGAAGCCAGAAGAGTGCATCACAAGTCAGAAGTACAAGAGAAGAAACTGTTAGCATAGAACTTATGGTTACATCTAGCCATTTCAACTGTAAAATGATGAGACCTAGCTGCCAATCTAGTACTACACTTAAATTTGTAAAGTAAATGTACCACAGAGGAAAGCTCATCAGGACACTTACCATGAAAGTATTTATAGAAAAGGCACAGTAAAGCTAAGTTAGAACAATTGGAAATTGAAACCGAGATATCAGGTCAGGACTGATAACATTGAAGATTATTTCGATTTTATCAAGAATCTCTAAATACATAGCAGAAGCATCAGACCAGATGTGGCAGCAATATTCAATGCATGGACTTATGTGCACAAATTATAACGCATAAATTGTATTGTGAGTAATGAGAAGATCTCTTCTATTCTGGTACTGTAAAGCAAAAAAAATAGTAGCAAACAGAATTTTAAAACATTCAACCTAAGCAGAAAGACTTATGTATTCAGATTTTTTCCCTCCCAATCATGTGTAAAGATATTCTCCGGCATCTGTCAGTTTCAAGAGTCTCTACTCTACTTGTCTAGCGAGCTAATCCTTGTTACAACTTGAGCATATTTTGTGTTTGTTCAACACCCACCTGTGGTTTATACTGCAACTATGCTGAGTGGGACCGTAATTACAGTTTGTAGGAGAGAGCACACAATCTAGCATGATCAGAACACTCAACCCATTGGTAATGATGACTTGTGTCTTTGTGATAACAAAAGCATTGATGGCTTCCAAACAGTTTTGTCTAAACAAATTCATTCACAAAGGTTGCATATGTGATGTGGTTTTCAGGCCCTTCCCAATGGTGACAGACACTAAGATTGTCTCCCTAGGCCCATAACATCATAGAGTTATCTCAGACCATGGTGAGATTCTTCAAACACAGGTCTCATGTTTGTAATGCTAACATTTCTGAGACACATATAATCTTTATCGGAACAAGCTACAAGTGTGATTGAGAAAAATATAATGGATGTACTGGTAAGTGTTTCTGCTAAGATGAAATTAAAAAAAATTCTGTTTGCTAATTTTTTTCACTTTCTACTTTACGTCACTTGGAGAAGAGATCCTCACTTTCTTTAAAGACATTTCACCTGAAGAAGGCCATAAAATAAATCAGCCAAAACATTGTCCTGGCAAAATCAAAAGCATGAAGAAATAATTGTTAAAACTTTCATTACTGCATTGTTACAGAATTGTTGGCAGGCTGTTCTGGCCTATTTGTGGAAAAATAGGAAATTGCCATTTACTGGAAATGAATGAGTATAAAATGTTGACAGCAATTTTTCATGGGTGCTACTATTTTGGTTTTGACTAGATACTCTGCAGTAGAGACAAAGCTAAATTGCCCCTCACCCAACATGTAAACTATATATAAAATTCTGTGACTTCCGTTAGTCTGTTTGTCCATCCATCACATCCTCTAAAATCGCAATACAGTGATTGATCAAAAACCAAATTTTGTGGAGAAGTGGAAACAGGTAAGGGGGTATAAAGTACAGTTGGTTTTGCTAGGGTGTGGAGCTTAGTACAATAAATTTTCATTAATTTTTTTGGAAAAATTAAATGTTTTATTATTTAGCATACAAAATATTCCCACTATACTAAAAACAGTTTAATGATTAAAATAAATATTTAATAAAAATGCAATATTATTTTTTTGCATATCTTTTCTTTAAGCATTTATATATGCAAGAATTCAGTTTCCAGTTCACCCTGTATTTGCAAGGACTATAAACAAATGACAGGGCCAAATGCTTCAAAAAGTTGGAATTTGGCTCCAGAAAGAAATATTTACGCAATATTTGGCCAGTTGTATGCTGTATGCTTAAGAGTAAAAAATCCTAAGAATTTATTCTTTGCTGTTAAAAAGGAAAAAAAGAAACTTTCTAATAAAATATTGTTTACTATGAAGTCCTATAAAGTTAAATTAAAGAAATTATTAAATCATGAAGTAGAGTTTTTATCAAAGTATTTTCAAAACAAATCAGCTTATTCAAATTTCATCAATTGGTTTGTAAAATTGAACTAAATGTAGAGTTAGTAAATCTTGACAAAAAATATTAGTGATAATTAATACTAGTGAGGATTTTAACGTGCATCAGAGCACTGCAAAAAAAGTTCTAGTAAAAAATACTTCCCAAAACAGGTTGTATAGTATGCTTATGCTGGTTTGGAAATAGCACTAAGTGTGAGTTAGTTTATAACACAAATGCTAGGGACCAACATTTCCCAGTGTCTTGAAAACACACACAGGTCAATATCAGGCAATGTACAAGAGTCGACTGAAAAGTTCATAGGCTGACCAAAATACTCTCATGGAATGTGATCAAATGAGGTTTATTTTTCAACATGTTTTCCCTTTTGGTTCACATGCTTCTTCCATCAATGTTGCAGTATTTGGATCCCATTGATGAAGAAGCTTTTATCCTGTTGGTCTCAAAAGTCATAAACAGCAGATATGACATCATCACTGCGATACTGGTTCCCATTCAAGTGTTTTTTTCAAGTTGGGAAATGGATGGGCTAAATCAGGAGAATAGGGAGGGTGATCAACCAGTTCAAAGCCACAGTTACGCACAGCAACCATTGAAATCAAGGACTTGTGTACTGAGTCATTGTCCTGATGAAACGATGCTTTTCATCAGTTTTCCTGGATGCTTGGTCTTGATAGCCTTTTATAACTGCCTCAGCAAGTTAGCATAGTACTCTCCATTGATGGTGTGGCCCATTTGAAGATAGTCAATAGACACAATGCCTTTTGCATCCTCCAAAAGCTGAGGCCATCACCTTCCCTGCAGATGAAATGACCTTGGCCTTCTTTGAAGCAGTTGAGGAGGAATATTTCCACTGTATGGATTGTCTCTTTGTCTCTGGCTCAAAGTGATGAACCCAACACTCATCCTGGCTCAGGAAATGTTCAAGGAAACTAGCTGGATCTACCTCAAACAATGTCAGCTTTTCCAGTGATCAGTCTGGTGCACCCACCGAGCAGAAACCTTCATCATGTCAAGTTCATTGTGCAGAATATTTTCAATTCTCACATGGAATATGCTAATAGCTATTAGCATTGATAAGTTTAATTTATAGTCAATTGCCTGTCATTCAGTACCATGTTGTGAACATGATCAATGTTTTCCTCGGTGGTAGAAGTTGCAGGACATCCAGACCTTGTGTCATTTTCTGAAATTCAGCTGCTCACTTTCGCAATGTTGCTGTAACTGCAGTGTCATCCCCTAACATAGCAACCATATCAATATTTTCAAGAGAAGTCATGACTAATTACTTTTGAAGTCTTCTTTGAACAGTCAGACATCAGTTTACCTAGAAATAAACAATGCAATGATTAATAAGAAGAGTTGAAATGAATGCCTGCAAGATTTCACAGCTTTAGCATCACTCCTCCATAGTCAGCCTATGAACTTTTCATTCCACCCTTGTAAGTTTTATAAAGATATATGTTTTTAAAACATATCAGCAGTTGGATAGTAAGTGTTGTATGTCTTGAAAACATATATAAATTAAATAGATCAGCAGTAGGCAATGTAAGTATTTTAAAGACGTGTCTTGAAAATGTATATATGTGTGTGTGTGTGTGCATATGTGTATATATATATATATATATGTGTGTATGTGTATGTGTGTATATATACATGTGTGTGTGTGTGTGTGTGTGTGTATATATATATATATATATATATATATATATATATATATATATATATATATATATATATATATACTGATAGGGCCAAGTAGTTAGAACGTTCGCTTTCTGACCATGAGGCCTAGGTTTGAACCTCACCATGGTCGATTTGTAAGGAAGGAGACTTCCTGATGTTATTGGACAGGATTGAAGTCAATCCCAGTGTGTGGTACCTTTGGAAATTGCCTGAAAACCACATCACTGGTTGACCCAAGCCTTGTGAGTGAAATTGGGTGGATGGAAGCCTTGGGGGCCATCAATAGCTGTGCTAGCACAAATCCACAAGTCATCATGGCCAAGGGCTTGAGCATGCTGGCCTTGTTCAAATTGTTAATCACGCTAGATAACACGCTCTCTCCCAAAAACTGTAACTAAGGTCTGCTCAGCATAGTTGCAGTATAAACCACAAGTGGGCTCGATGGATGTTGAGCAAGCACAAATGTACCTGAGAGAGTGTCTGCAATAGGGATTGCTAGCCACTCTAGTAGACGTGTATCCTCGGATACGAGTGGCCAGCTATCATTATATATGCATACATACATACATCAGAAGTAGGTGGTGTAAGTGTTGTAAAGACATATATCTTGAAAACATATATATATATATATATATATATATATATACACACACACACACACACAGGCACACACGCACAGCAAGTAGTGTTCACTTTGTAAAAATGTATAAGTAGGTCAACAACAATGCTAGTGTTAAATAAAATGCAAGAAACTACTAAATGCTGCAAATTATAAACTTAAGTTCCATTCCAGTATCTTTACACTTTAACTGGGATATTTTTGTCACTTCTCTTTGGTATGAAATTCTGTTTTGCAGAGATCCTGCTCTCTTCTCTCTCATTGACAAAGTGTGGATATATCCATCACATCAGAATGAGTCACCTAAGTCCAGTAGTGAAAGTGACCATGTAATTACTGCTCAAGTAAGTACCTTACTACATATTTATATGAGGATGAAATGGCATAAGTACTTAAACCTGAAAAAAAACATTTTTATAGATAAGAAGCAAAATGGCCATAGAGAAGCTATGGGACATATAATGAGTATTAACACAAACTTCTTTAATGTATGTATGGGTGGTGTAATGGATTTCAGCTTAAAATGAGAAATCAGAGAGCTGATTTCAAATTCTTGCTGAATTTGTTACATTCATTTATATGCAAATACCCTTGAGAAAGGTATGAATCCTTATCTTTTCCTCCAGCTATGGGTTAAATAGCAAGATAGACTAGCTACTCTAGTCTTGGTTGGTAACCATTCTAGAGATGATGACTTGATAAATATCCCCAATCATGTCTATCGATGCAAGATGGATTCTGATGAGAAAAATTGGTGTGATACAGTGAACCCACTCTCCTAGCAGTAGACCTAGCAAGTGATTCAATATAATCATTTCACTCTATGTAAATACAAAATGTGAGCCTAAGCTGCTTTACTGATGTTTCTATTTTTTGTGAGAGAACTTGCAACATGTTTAAAATGAACTGTGGTGGTCAGTGCCGATGCACTAACTTAACTCAGGCTCAAGCAGATTTACCCAGGCAAAACCCATTAATAGGAATTTTTTTTATTTTTATTTTTATTTTTTTATTTCTGTTTAATTTTTTAAAGATATTTTTAAAGCCTTTTTTATTGTATCTTGCAGATGAAACCAGGCTTCTGTTATGTAACAGGTCATTCTGGGTATATAGGGGTTGAAAGTGGAGTGCTACCTTACAAAAACACTTTCATCCTTGATGAACCAGTTGCCCAACCCAAACTCTTGTTGCGGATTTCAACTCTGAAAGAAATAAAGCAACAGGTATTTCAATTTTCAAAATCTGTATTCTCATCGCCACAATTTGGGTGATCTTAATTCTGTATGAAACTGTCTATATTCTTTTGTGCCATATTCTTTTCAGGACAATCATGACTCTCAACAACTTTTTGCCTTTTGTTGCCATAATTAATTTGGGTGGCAACTAGTCTGTTAGAAAACCCTGATTTCCAAACCACCGAGAAAGCAATGAGAAGCCATTCCACTATCCCAAGAAGTTCTGGCAATTCACATATAATAAAAAGAAATCTATGGAGAGACATGATTGCCTGTACCCTGAAAGGACATTGCATTTAAAAAAATGTCAGAACAAAAAAAAAACATCTTCAAAATACTCTCCTTGGCAATGTACACAATGCAATGGCAACACCTCTTCCATGCCTCATAACCAGTGTAGAAGTCTCCTTTCTAAAGGCTGTCTGTTACCGTTTGCAATTCCATTTGAATTGCATCTACAGTCTGTTAAATGCTACTTCATCAGCAAAGTTACAGGGGACTATCTTTTCTATATTTTTTCTGGTGTTTTATTGGTGATTGGTCACCTTGAACCTTCATCATCTTCAACTGAAACATGACTGGTCTTGAAAAAAGTATGCCACTTAAAAGATGTGTTTGACCTAAAGAATATTTGCTAAATGTCTGGTGAAGTATTTTAAGGGTCTCAGTAACAGATATACCAAACTTCTTGAAAGATTTGATAAGAGGCACATTGCATGATTTTTTAGCCATTGTAAAGATTGAAAAGCTGTTCCACTAATAATGTTACTAAACTTTGCATAATAAACAAACATAAGTAGTCTACTAGTAGACTTTGTGCTGTCTAACTCATCAGACATGGTACCAATGTGTATTAAGTGCATGAACATTTCTACTGAATGACAGTATGCACAGTGGTAACTCAATCAGCTCTATTATAATTTTTTTTTTTAATCATTTCACCCAAGCAAGGTGATAATGCCACTAAGATGCAAGAGGTTACTGTGAGTGAAAGTGAATTAAAAGACATTAGTGAGGAGAAAGGGCAATAAAAAACAGGGTTCAGAAAAGCAGATAATGATGATTGATGTTGCTTTTAAATTTTTGAAAATCATAAGTGGCAGGGAAGCAAGAAACCAGAAGAGAGTTCCAAAGGTCAGAAGTGTGTTCCATTAGAATAGAACTTATGGTCACATCTAGCAATTTCAGGGAAACTATGTCACAGTGGTGGGGAAAGTAACTGAAGTTGAGATGCCAGGTCAGAACTGATAACATTAGAGACTCTCTGGATTTTGTCAGGAAATTTGAAATAGATAGCAGGAGCACCAGACCTGATATGGCAGCGATATTCAATGCACAGACAAGTGGTAGATTTATATATGTGCAAGATGAATTCTGGTGAGTAAAATTGTCTGGAATAAGAGTGAATCAACTTTACTAGCAGCAGATTTAGCAATTAATTCAATATAATTATTCATTTCATATCAGTGGAAAATGTGTAACCAAAAAGGCACAATGAGTTACTATCCTTTTCATTTTGGAGTTGTTAAAATTTGCAAGTCATTTCTTGCCTTAGTTAACTGAATGGAGGTGATTTCCAACTGCAGCTGCCAGTTTTATTTTGTTGGGATTATTGGACTTATTATTGACCTTTAGCACTCTGTACATGGCTATTTTCACTAAAAAAAATGTTAGTCTGGTCAATGCAAGTTGAATTTGAATTTTTTGGTTGTGTAGTCATATCTTTCTATGGCAACAACTAAAACAATCTTGACTGAAATTAAGAGCCAGGTTACTGCAATTTCAAATATATAGAACTAATATATAAAACACTATATTTTGAGGGGATTCCATATGCAGTAAAAGGGGAAATAATATTTATAAATGATGCAGAGTTCTAAATGCTAAGATAGGTTTAGTGTAAATAAATACTGAGTTGGGAACTGATGGTATTTGGAATGTTGTTGATGATGATAAACAATTTAGGTCCAAGGATAGAGCCCTGGGGGACCTTTACATTAATGTGAAAGGATCTAGAAGTGACTTTCATTACACCATTTGTTAAGAATGATTGGATGAAGTCAAATATTTGGCCACAAACAACATAGCCCTTGAACTTGTGAAGAAGGCCATCATATCAGAACCTGTCAAATGCCTTTAAAATATCTAAAATCTGAATCTCAATGTTAGATAAGAATGGCAATGCTCACTCTGTGGCTTTAGATATCTCAAAGGTGTTTGACAAGGTTTGGCATGCTGGCTTTCTTCACAACCTCAAGGGTTCAGGTGTCTCTGGCTGAATATTTGCAAAAGAATAAAACTACCACATATAGAAGGCATATATATTTTTTTCAATGCCCACAGCATTGTAATAATAATCTAGTTTTTTAATCATCACATCAGCCTCTCTAAAAGTATATACAGCAGAACTGTAAGTAAATTCACTTTTATTTACAGTGTATTTTCTCTGGGATTCTCAATTAGGTTGGTGACCCAGGGCTCACCTGTGTCGGAAGCTTGAGTTGCTGGTTGGTGATAGGGTTGAAGTTGAGGGTTCAAACTAAATTTGATCCATGTTTCTATGGGGGATAAGACATTTGAGGTGGAAGATATCCCAACACCATGATGTCAGAAAAAAGATCAAATAATTTCTTGCCACTCAGACTGGCATATCAGACTGACTATGATTGCAGCTGTGCCATTGAAATGAAATACAAAATTGGACTATGAGTTTTGAGATTCATCTGTTTACCCAATTGAACAGAATATGGCACAAGGCCAAGTTTAAAGTGGGAGTCAAACTATATAATAGAGTTAGAGACAGAAATGGAATTATGGGTTTTTGCAACTCTCTTTTTAAAATATCAAATCAATACAAATGAATTAACTTTGGGTATCTGCTTCATTTGCATTGAATTTGGGAAGTAGTCTCTCTTGTTGCTTGAGATGAAAAAAACTAAAGACTAATCAGTGTTGTTATTTACTAAGTTTTGTCATTTAGGCTGCAAGTATGTAGCACACAGTAAGGATCAAACTCATAACTCAGATTAGGTGCTCATTATTGCTTTCTGCAAATTACATAATCATGTTTTGGATAGTTTACTTATCCCAGTTAAAGGCTACAAGTGTAGGGATGCAAACCACTTGCCAGCGTTTCTCAACTGGGGTTCCCTGGAACCCTAAAGTTCCACAAAAGTTCTCCAAGGTGTTCTGTGAGAACAGGTGAGATAAGCTAATGCACTTTTGACTTTTTATTTAATTTGATATACGTAATATTACTGTTTACATTCTGTTTACATTTATATTACAGGTATATGATATTGGTTACTTATGTCTATTTTTTACGTTTGAGTTTAGAATTTTTTTTGTGTGAATGAAAACTCCCTGATTAAGTATTATAAACGAACAGTATGAATTTTATTTAGCATTACTGAAAAATTTGACAAAGAAGTATTAATTTTTTCTTAAACCAGTTATTCAAAAATATATACTATGATATTTACTATGTGAACTATGATGAAAATGAGAAAGATATGGAATATAATTTTGTTTATGTGTAGGGATTCCTTGAGACATGTACTTTATTTTAAGGGTTATGCAATGGTAAAAAGTCTGAGAAATGCTGCACTAGATAATCAAGTTGGTTTACAAAATAACCTTTTTCAAACACTATGCTATGTTTGGTGTCCATAAATTTGGTATGTTTGTAAATGGGTAAAGTTGGTACTGAATATATTAACTGATTTGGAATGTAAACTTCAAAACATTTGTGATTCTAGGTACTTATAATTTAATTCTGAAATTTTCTTTTCAGGATAATGATACCGGCAGGATGAGGTTGACATTTATTGCCAAAATTTTCTATCTGAGATCAAAGGTCAGTTTGTCTCCATTTATTATTGCAATGAAATCAATTTATTTACTTGAGAAAAACCATGTCCCATCCCAAATATCTTGAACTATAATTTTTTTTTTTTTTTTTAAACCATTTGCCTAAAGAAAAAAAATACATACATAGCCATGTTTTTTGTTGAGGAAGAACTAATTAAAAACAAAATATCTTTGAAAAATTAGTATAAGTGAAATACTTTAGGAAGGCCAGGTAAATACACGTGAAAAAAATATTTGAATTAAATATAACCACATTTATGATTGCTTTGCAGTTATGCTGCTATGTAATTGGGTTAAAGATGTGGGGCTTACTACCATGTGTTACATGTCAGGGTGTTAAAAGTAGATGAACTACTAGGGTGGGAAGCAGCATGGTCTCGTCTGAAGTGTGCCAAAATCAAACTCAGCTTGGTGGTGAGGAAGAAAGCAGCCATATTGAAAATACTTGCATTAGTGCAAAACCCAACCCTATGAAAATATATGAAAACAGTTTTCTTTCATAAAATATATGTACAACAGTGTAAGTAATGTTAATATTTCACATTTGTGTAACTACAAAAATATGTATTGCCGAAATTTGTCAGTAGCATGCCAAAGAGCAGCATATAAAAATGCATGTTCGATGCACTTAACCTATTTAATAATAGAAAGTGTACATGTGGTGAGAAAAATATATCCATGTAGTCTCTAAAATATGGGAAATGTGACAAAAATATATGCTATTAAAATTAGCAAAAACAACACTTAAAATCCATTAGACAATTAGGAAAAATTGTATTTAACTTTGCTATGGTTATCTCAAAGTTAAAATAGAAGCAAAAAGATGCCAACAGAGGTGAACAAAATTGTCCTATTATACGACTTCTGAATGAACACATGGATGGAGAAAACTCCACAATTAAAAGTTACTAAATGAACTGAGATGTATTTAATGAAGTCACTAGTTAAAATGTCAAGAAATAGCAATTATTTAGCATGTTAAACAAATATGATTTTTCTTTTTATTAAACTTTTTTATGACAATACTATTGTTCTTTCTGTTCTGACATTTACCATGATAAGGAATACATGTTAAAACTGTATTTTGTTAATTGACATGTTGGAAAAGTTACTAGTTAAGATTTTGTTGACATGATCACCAGTTTATGACAAAATATTTCATGTTTTTTTCCACTTTGCTATTGCTGAAATGTATCATTTTATCCTGTTATGGGCTTTGTGCTGTATGAGAAATGAACATTTGATATTTCAGGTTCAACAGATAATGGAGGTAAATAATATGATGTCAAGTTGTGTTGATCCAGATAATGGGTGTACTATGGAAGAAAGGTTTATTCCTCCATTTGCATTTCTCCCATTATGGCTATTATTATATTCATGATATAACACTGTATTTTATGGATGGAACAGAATAGCTGAAAGAAAAGGAATGACAAACATGCGTGTTCTCAGAGAGTTTTATAACACTTAATCTTACACAAAATTTAATATAGCTATTTACACATGTCCCATGCAAAGAAAATATAACACATATCTACACAACACGCAGAGTGAAAAGGAGACCAAAAAGAGAGTCTTACATGTAGTAATTTCCAATGGGAACTGTAGCTGCTGGAGATTCTTCTGTGTTGCTGGAGAAGCCATATTTAGGATTCTAGATTCAAGCAGGCTAGATTTATCCACTATGTCAATAGCAAGGACATATACTGCAAATGAAAAATGGCAAGTCCTGGGTTTTTCCCAATATGAGGGCTGTGAACTGGAGATAGTTTCATTCTATATCTGGGTAAGATATATTCCTAAAGGGAAATGGTGTCATGGGCTTGTAAACTGCACTGCATGCTGGAGGAAGCAGATTTAGCCTCAGCCTGGGTAAGGCAAGGGCCTTGCCCATGCTAAAATTGCAACTTGTCAGTTTGATTCCTGGAAGATGACTGACTGGCACTTTTATCACTGTATAATGTGATGTCACTAAACAGCCGTCATCTGACTTCATCTTGACCAAAGGGAGGTAATCGCCTTTTGTATCCCTACAGCTTGTATAAGAAGCTCATCTGCTTAAACAAAAAAAAAAATAAATAAAAGTAAAATGGGAGTTGAAATAAATTTCAGTGACAATCAAATTTAATTTCACAATTTTTATCATTTTATTTTTACATATGGAGGAATAATCAGGATTTGGTGTTTTAAGTTTTTGGTCATTTTTGTTTGAATTTCTGAGTGAGGAATTGTCCTTTTTTTATGCAATGATTTATTTACATCTTGATTGTTGTGATCAAAACAATTCAGCTGTTACACCCTATGACAAAGTTTAACCTTTGAACTTGCAAAAAAATTTTGTATCAGAAGGATGGTTTTTTATTTTTGACACTGCTATATCTGCTCCCTCAACTATCTTTGTTTTAAAATTTTAATAAAACGCAAACTTATGAAACTTAGATTTTTTTTTTTTTTTGCTCAAGAACTGACAAAAAAAAATTTTTTTTAATTGTGTTTACTCCAAGCAAGGCAGTAAAGCCACTAAGACACAAGGGGTTACTGGGTGTGGAAGAATTAGAAAACAGAAACATTACTAAGGAGAAAGAATAAAAGAAGAGTAATCAGGAGGACAGTAGAAAGGGATAGACATTGCATTTAAATTTTTAAAGATTAAAGTTGACTGAAAAGCATGAAGCTGGAAGGGAGTTCCACAGTCAAGAAGTGTGAGAAAAGAAACTGTTAGCATAGAGTTACATCTAGCCAACTCAACTGTAAATTGATGTGACCCTGTTGTCAGTCTAATACTGCACTTAAATTCATAAAGTACCATAGCAAAGAGCTCATCCAATCAATTACCATGAATGTATTTATAGAAAAGGCATGGCGAAGCAACTTCATGGTGGTGGGAAAGTGACTAAAGCTGAGATGCCAGATCAGGACCAAAAAATTGCTGATTCTTCTTTGGATTTTATCAAGGATCTCTAGATATATAGCAGGAGCACCAGACCATATGTGGCAGCAATATTCTAAGCCTGGATAAATGGTAGACTTATAGATATGTAAGATAGATTCTGGAGAGAAAAATAGCTTAGCACGACACAGTGAACCAACTTCCTTAGCAGCTGACCTAGCAATGGATTCAGTAGAGTCTTTCCACTTCATGTCAGCCAAGAACATTTACCTGAGAAGACACAAGTCAATCTCTTGGAGGTTAGCATCAGCAATGCAAATGGAAGGCAAAAAGTTGTCACTCAGATGATTAATAGAGAGCAGTTTAGTTTTGGTAGTGTTAAAATTAACAAGCCGTTCTTTGCCCCAGTTAACAACAGACTGTAGTTCATTTTTTTATATCAGCCACCAATTTAACCTTATCAAGCTGATCACACTTACTATAAAGAGAGGAATAAATGGTTGTGTTATCAGTATAGATGCCAAGTTGAGAGCTGACATTACTGGGAAGGTCCTTAATGAAAATTTAAAACAAAGTAGCATCAAGGATAGAGCCCAGAGAGGAGACACCTGCATTAGTACAAAAGGATTTAGATGTGGGGCTGTTCAGGATAATATTCATTTAATGATTTCATAAAAAAAACTGGATCAGTTCAAAAATTTGGCAAGAGACATTATAACTTTTCAACTTGTGAAGAAGACCTGTATGCCAAACCCTGTTGAAAGCTTTCAGGATGTCCAAATCAACAGCCTGAGCTTCACCATCTTATCTAGAACTTGATGGACTCTTTCCGTATTTATTGTCAGTACATCAGCAGTGGACCTAGAGAAATGAAAGCCATATTGCTTGTTAGAAAGAAGGCCCTGCAATGTGAGATGCTTAACTAATTCCGTATTGATTAGATCCTCTAGTAGTTTCCCAAAATGAGGTAGAAGACTGATAGTTGGAAGGGTTGGATGGTTCACCTGAGTTCCTAAAAACTAGAACAACAGATGAGGATTTCCAACAGGTAGTAAAGTAGTGAGGCATTTATTGCAGAGTTTAGTGAAAACACAAGCCATTTCGGGAGTACATCACTTAAGGTCTATTACAGGGATACTATCTGATCCACTTGCTTTGTAGGGATCCAGATTAGAGATGATAGCAGAAGCCATAGAAAGGGTTATATGCATATTACTCAACAGAACCTCAGTTGTAAGTGCAAAGTTAGGCAAGGGTAGGAGTAGAGAATTTAGGTGAAAAACATTCAGCTTTATCCGCATATGTTAACATCTCAAATTGTAAACACTATTTATTTTATTAGAATTTACAAGAATAACTTTATATATTAAAAGATTATGAAAATATTTGAACCAACTACAATGTAATATTTATTATTTACCATTTTAAGAAGAAATAAATATGAAAGAGATTTTTTATTCATAAATTTATAAAAATAACTGTGAACAAGAAAATTTAAATAAACACATAACGACAAGTAACTAATTACATTTTTAATCCACTGGGGCTGAACCACTCTCATTCTCCTAGGGGAGGTAACTCATATTAGTTAACTCGTCCTCTTGGGGTTTCTGATCGTTCTGTTAAATTGGAAAAAATAAGGAGGCCTTTGATCAGGAAAGAACAGATATTACTTCTAAAACTTAAAAAATCCTACATTATCCTAATTCAGAGCTTTCCAAACTGGGGAGTTCTGACACTTCAGCATAAATAATTACCTGTTCTTTCTTTAATTATTAACTAAATTGAATGAAAAATGACCTTTTGGATTATGTATTTGGATTGGCTCATAAAATTCAAGTAATGTATTGCAGGAAGTTTTTATTTTTAAAAGGTGTGCGGACATCGCAAGATAAATATAAGTAGTTAAGCACTAGTGGCTTTACAAGGCTATATTAACCAAGAAGAATAATTTGTGTTGTCTCCCCTACCATGGAATCCTGTGAATTAAATAAAGGGTTCAGCTTAAAATTTCAAGACTATTTGAAGAAAGCTGGAAGGTTCAATGACTGAAACATTTTAACTCTAACAAACAAGATGAAGACACCAGTTTTAAT